GTTACTTTGGTTTAGTGCGTGTAATTGTGTGTATGCAAGTGTGTTTTTGTGGGTATAGTAAAATATAGGGTTTAAAAGACTGGATAAATTGTCTGATGGATGTTGGTACTAAATAGATAAATCTGTAAATAATTTGGTAAAATGGGTTAGTTATTACGTATACCGGAGAGGTTGGTAGTTGTTTGTTACCAGTTTGGTAAGAAGTGTGGTAGCAAAATGTTACCGAGGGTAGATTCGATAACACTGATACACGTTCCCTCTTAAAAAATTCTAAAATATTAACGTATAATATACCGAAGAGATTGGTAACTTTTTTTACCAGTTTGGTAAGAACTGGACAATGTATCGTGGTAACAAAATATTACCGAGGGTAGATTCGATAAAACTGATACATGTTCCCCATTTTTAAAAATTGTGCAATTTTTTCAAAACTGTTAGGCTAAGTTTTTACAAAATGGTCAATCCCTCCTTAATTATGGGTCCATTTTAGGTATTAAATTCTCCAGAAAAAGCGAAAACGTGTCCCCTTCCGAACGATTATGCATTCAACCAAGAAAACAACCCGTTACAATCTACAAAAAAGTTCAGTCCTGATTCAGCTCCGGCCTAAAATGGTAAAATAAATATGCACTTTTTTCCTCAACGTAATAATCATCTAACTCCTCAAAAAACAAGCCGATTTACAAATATTTGACAAAGAGATATGATCCCTCCATCCAACGAAGGAACGTTACTTACGTCACGTTACATAATCCTTGAATAAACTTTGTAAATTATTATTTTTTCCTGAAAATCCTGTCACTCTTTCCTCATTGTTGTTTGTATTTGTTTAATAATCCGACATTTTTAAGTGATTGTTAAACATAACGCTTGGCCGGCTTATTGTTGAAGAAAACGTTAAATATTTCCGTGTCCCTGGTAAAAAAAAGAATGATGAAAGGCAGACTTTTACTTACAGTTCATAGGTTTCGTTGTTGTGGAGTAGATTTAAATAATTTAATGAAGATACATACATAATAAAGTATTGCGGAAAAGAATGGATTATGCAAATCTGTCCGTAATGGATATGGATAACGCAATTCCGGACAAAAGGATAAGCGAACGATGCAACTTTGCACTGAATACTGCGGCAATTTATTCCAGTTCTTTATAAGATTTGCAAAGTCCAAAGTCTTTAAAACGGAAAAATCTGAGCATAAAATCTGAATCATTTCTTACATTAGAAATAAATTGGTAACAAAATTTGTCGCATTTTCGCATTGAAAATTCGCATTTTCGCATTGAAAATTCGCATTTTCGCAACATATTTACGTTTGATGTCGACGGTAATAATGATGAAACCCACCAAATGTCACTTCCTGGCGGTTGTAAATTGTTACCAGCTTTGTACAAATTATTGATACCGTTCTGTATGGTAAATAATTCTGCTAGCTGTTTATGTACCTACATTTGGTCACAATTTTATTTTGAGCGTACTTTTTGGACCAGAAAGTGAATACTTGGATCGGCGACCAAGCCCAAAACTAAGAGTTGTAGAGTGATCATCATACTCTCATTTTTTGCGGACATCTTTACCACCACTATTTTTTATCCCTAGAAACCTCCCAAAGTCAGATCCATTAAGGATCACAGATACGTTTTATCCTCTTCTTCTTCTTTTTTGGGGACGCGATTACACAGCGAATGCCGAGAGACACACACCGAGATAATTATTGTCATCCTCTCTTGTCCAATGCAATCCAGAAAATGGTCATGTTGGCAAATCGTGACTCTTATTTTGCATCACTTTTACTACACGACGACGACGAGTCAAATTAGTCTCGTCGCAATAATGGTTCTTGTCCATCCATCAGAAAAGTGGATAAAAAATAAATTAAAGTTTTACCAAGTCTTAAATTTGCAAGTTTTGGATTAAAATAAAAGTCTGAGATTTCTCGTTGTCGGCCGCGATGAGATGAGACGCATTAAACCAGTAAAAGATGTACTTTGTCTTTGACTGATTAGATGTGTGTGTGTGTGTATCGAATGGGAAGGTTGGGGCACTCTTACTAATTTGGTGTAAAATTTGTTACCGGGCGGTGGTGGCTGTGTATGAAAGTATAGATTTGGTAGTAGTGTAAAACAGAGGTCAACGCCGACCAATTTTGCGGTTGCGGTAATTTTGGCCATTTTCGGCGGCCTTGTCCCAATGTTGAAGGAATAGGAAATCAGATTTATCGGCGGGGGCGGCGGCGCACAAAATGATTCTGACGGCGTGACCTCTGGTGTAAAATAGAAGTGCTGATTAGTGCCGATTAGCGGCAAAGCTCAAATTTATCATTGATTTGCGGTAAATTATAAAAGTTGGTAACGTTGATAATAATTTTTGTTACAGAATTAAGCAAATTAGTGATTTCTAATACCCGGTAGAAGATTTTGCTACCAAACATTTAAGAGTGCAAGGTAGAACTCCATAAAAAAAATTCTGACTTATGCAACCAACCAAACATTCTAAAAAAATCTAAAATTCGAAACAAATCAGGTGTCACTCAACCTCAAACTGCTCGAGTACATATGAGTTTGTGGAAGGAGGAAAAGCCAATTTTTTTTACGGATGGTTTTATTTACACCTTATTTTATCCATTTAGACACATAGTTGCTTTATTAGCGCAATAATGCGGTGGGTGATAAACTAGACGGAAATTATTAGTGTCAAAATTGCCATTGTTATTCGGTAATGATTTTCGGAAATGTTTTCTAATTATGTATTTTTATGCTTTGATTATTTCGAAGTCAAAATGTTGGTAAAATCGATTTCATTCACTCCTTGTTGCTATTACAAATGTAAGAATGTTGAAATTTGGTGTGATAAAAAATCCATAAATTTCTACAAGGAAGGAAGTATGGATTTTAATATTTAATATTTTTGCATGTGCCAAATATTGACATTTTTTACATTGTACGTACATGCACAAGCGTTGATAGTAAAATCGTTACGTTTTGAGCAGGATACATATTATGCGAGGAATCGAGGTTAAATTAACTGGATTTAGTTTAATAAGTGAAGATGGTGAAGTTACCTCTTTTTTATTATTACACGACATTGTTTCATAATTTCTCAAAATTCATAAGAATCTTTGATATGCATAACTTGTGTTACATATTTTAATTTGTATTACAAAATCCATACCGGTGTATACATACCAACGAGGTGTGATTACAATTATCTTTACAATTATTAGTAAAAGGTTCCGAAATCTTTAGAAATAATGCATCTCATACACATTAAAAAGCAATTTAAATAGTATGAAAATTTTTGCAATTATGCACATTCAAAACTGGCATTACGTTTAATTATCCTCGAAGTGATACAATTTTACTAGAAAATATTTTTTTGCGTACAAATCATAATTTTGTTTATATCCTCAAAGTGTACCTGGGAATTATTGCTATTCCTACATTTCACACTAAACCACCACCGACTTCCAACTTTACCAATTTAATTTTCCACAAATACAATTTTCAAACCTTCCGAATAAAACCAGTTCAAACACTAAAAAACAAGTTATTAAAATCACATTACTTTCATCTTAAACGAAACCGAAATTTATCTTCCTCTTGTAAATTTTCATTCTCAAAACTACCCAAGTTAAAATAAACGTACTATAAAAGCAATCTGATTAGATCACTAGTTACCGTTTTTTTCCACTATTATGAATTTGCCTGATTTTAAAAATACATCTTCCCATCACAACAATACATAATCTGTAATATGCATTTCACTCCTAGTTTCGTTACTTAGTCATCCATGCCGTGAGAGGGATGGGATGGGATTCATCTGCTACTTGCTTGGGTGGATTGGATTGGATTAGAATATCAGCCTTAATTTGCCAAGATTTCCATGCATATACATGGCGAACGAGGCATGATGAATATCTACCGTTCATCAAAAAGTAAAGTTGTTTGCAACTATTTCCGTTCTTGTAAAATCTCATCATTTCAAAGTTTAGGTTAGTTGAGCGGATCGATGAAAGGGTTGAAATACGATCATGAAATGAAACAATCTGCTGAAAGGGTAGACATAAAAATAAAATGGAATGAGAAAAACCGTGTCAAGCCATGCCTATCGAATCGCCAGATTATTATTTAAAAGGAAGAAGAAGAACAGGTTATAAGTACATTTTTATTGCGTTATTTTTATATTGAGTAAGACGACGACGACGACGCGGACTAAGGTTATTTTTAACTGGGTGGAAAATAAAGTTTCAAAAATTTGCTTAAAATTTCGAAATGGAGTCACATTTGCAAATTTTTGTGTAAGAATGAATGGAATTTTATACATGCGGTGAAAATGGGTGATGAAATGTTTTTTTTTAAATTAAGAATTTTGAAATTGAGTGATTTTTGGGAAATGTATATTTGCAACTTTTGCATAGAATGAAAATATGACGGTGTCCGAATGAATGAATTCGCATTGCAAAATTTGTATTTATGTTATACATGGAATGAAAATGGGAGATGTTTTTTTTTAAATTTTTGTAAAATTTTAGAACGGACTTATTTTTGGAAAATATCTATTTTCAATTTTTCTACACAGTAATAAAATTGTGACGCTGTCCAAATGTATAATTATGAATTTATGCACACTTTAAAATTCATCTCAAAATGGTTTCGTATAATTTAAAATTTTATTACATTTGGCAACAGCAATATTTTTGCAACAACTTTCAGTCTTATTACATTGTTGCTTTGCTTATATTCTGAAACGATAATCGTATAGTTTAGCTAAAGAGTTAGCACAGCATGGCTAATCCATTAGTTAGCCTCGCCTAGTAAAATAGTAGCTCCCTACCTTTTTAAACTAACTACTCACATTTATTCTCTGCCAGTAACAAACACTTGTCCATCTCAAATTAGACTTTAAAATAAATTGTGGTCTGGTCTGTGTGATGTAACTTTTTTTCTTTCAACGTAACAAATCCATGCATTAAATTAATGAAAGTTTTCTCTTTTTTGCGCAGTGTCCACTTGACTAGACTGGTGCTAAGAAGAAATTGAAACTCCCGCCAAATGTTGTCTAACCAGAAAAATAGTACAAATGGAAGGATAAAGAGGGACTAAATTCTGCCGGAATTTTTTAAAAGTTGTTCGAAATCGTGGGAAGAAATCATGGGAAATTCAAATTCCACTGGGGGCGGGGGTGGTCATCATCACAATCAGCAACACGGGCATCACAAACATGGCCCGCGTTACCCGGGTTATCACCATCCCGGGTACCCCGGTCCGGGTTATGATGATGGGTGGAGTCATTCCCTGGAAACGCCGGAACAGCGGAATCGCATGAAGAGAGGCTATTTCCCGCCCCGAGCTTACATTGGGGGAATGCCGCAGCCACAAAAGGTCCTTCCAGTGGCGCCAAATCCGAATAAATTGCTCAAAGCGACGCAAAATGGGGCCATTTTGCATGGCGGGGGGACAATTTCGGGGAGGAAGTTGGGCGAATTGGAGTTAGAGATTAGGAAAAGGAGTACCGTTTCGTTCCCAGGAAATGGGATGGAGAACGAGGGAGGGAGATTGAGCAGTGGGAGGAGTACGCCTAATTTGGTTATGATGCCGAGGATGGGGTTGTCGGCAGGTGAGTTGCATTTTAAAAATTTATGGTGATTTTAGAAAATTAAAAAATGTCTGCACTACTGTGTGAAAAATCCGCACAAAATTGATAAATTTATAAACTAGACAAAAACCTGCGAAATTTATGTAAATTAGCACAAAAACAATATGCAAGTCTAAAATTAGCTTTTTTGCCAATATAAAAATCACTTAAAAAGTTGCATGATTTTGTTTCCAAAATAAAAAAATTCCATGATTTCGTTTTAAAAATTTAAAAAAAGATCTGTAGCTTTTCTAGTCTAGCTAAAAAAAATATCATTCTTAATACACACTTTGAAAAATATGTTATTTTTTCCGGAAATGACCGACACACCTTAAAATAAGTGATTTATTCCCCCTACTAATTTTCCTCTCAATTTCAGGCCTCCCCGTCTCCTCGTCCTCCTCCCGCAGTCGAGATTACGGGTCTGAACCTGACTTGCGGGATGTCGGGCGTTCCTCAAACAGTAAATATGACGACGCCACGCTCACCGACGACCGTTCATCATCCCCTCCAGTGCCAAATTCATTCACCATAATTTCCGAATCCCCCGCCAAAAAGCAGATCCGCTCAAGAAAGAAGTCAAAAGCCCCGCCACCCCCGCCAAACACGGTTTATCCCGATAACCAACCCAACCCAAACTTCTTGATCCCTTATCAGTATCAACTACAACAAAACCCACAACGTCAACTCCTCCTCACGCCGGTAAACGGTTCCCCGCTAATGGGGCATGATGAGAATAAGAACAAACAAAGGATAAAATCCCGCCTCTTCAAGACAAAGGCGGAATCCCGGTCTGCCATGAATTCTCCCGCTTTGCGGGTAACTCCAAGTCCGAGTAATGAGCTTAATTCGCGAAAAATCGAAAAATCTTCCCCGCAACAACAACAAAGGCATCCGGTCGATCCCGATTTTAAGAATAAAATGCGTGCTCCTAACCCTGCGGGAAAAATGGATCAACAAATTGTGCCAAAGGGGAATAATAAACATAATAATTACGCCAAAGAGGAGAAAAATGGAAAGAAAACTTTCTACTTTGGCATGGACATGGGAACTTTTAAGCAAAAACAGCAACAGCAACAGCAACAGCAACAAGCGCTTATCGAACAAGATAACATGGGTCAGTCGCAATCTAATCATCAACAAGTAAATCAGACTCAAGCCCACGTGGCCGACCTGCATAAGGAGATAAGCCGGCGAAAAATGTTGCAAAAATTGGACGACGAGTCCCGCTCAAGTTCCAGGAACTCGGCCGTGGCGGATTCAAAGAAAACGGGTAATAACAATAAATTGGCGGTCCTTACAAAACCTGGGAAAATAACGGCAAATAATCGAGCTTCCGAGTCAGATTCTGACGGAATTCACCGCCGACAAGATAGCGGGTCTTTTGAGCTAAACGAGAAGAAGAATAATAAAGCCATTCCCGCAGCCGGTCCGGTTGTCAATAATAACAAGAAAATAATGCCTTTGAAGAAACCCCGCGATCAGTCATCGTCCGACCTTTCGTCATCCGATTTAGACGTCCCGCTCGTCGTGACGAGACCAACTTTGCCACAAAAACGTCCAGAACTTCCCCGTTTTTCACCAACAGCGGCATGGCGAGCGATCGATTCGCCCTCTCGCGGATCCAACAATTCCTCCTCTAACGGGGGAAGGATGAGTTTCGAACCGGACCTTTCCGGCGGGGAGGATTCCCGCCTTCACAGATTTACCCGACCATCAGCCCCGCCCAGAATATCGGCAGAGAGATCAGGTGATTCAGGAATTTCGGCGGGAGACGCAGGTTCCCCGGCAAACGCGATCCCGCTCCTTTTAGAGGAAGAAGACGATCTTCACAATCCCCGAGTAGATTACAATGACGATTTCGACGACGAATTTTCCTCCTCCTCCCCACACGTTAAAATGAACAAGAAGAAAGGCGGCGCCATGTCGAAGTTATCAACCACCGGGATTGTCGGGGCTGACCGGAAAATGAAATGCTGGACCCCCGAGCAAGACTTGGATGAATCCAGTTCCGACTTTGACCAAGACAACGATCCCATCCTGCTCCCCCCGGTGCCCCCAAAACCCGGAAAAAATCAGAAACCTTCACCCCCCTCAAATTCTAACTCTCCCTCCGCCGCGGCTACAAAATATTTCAACCTTTTCCACGGAAAACGTGCCTCCGCTGTGGTGAGTGACTCTGACTCCAAATATTTCGGCGGTGGCGGGAACTCCAAATTCAGCAGTTCCGACGAACTAAACAGTAATCCCCCCCACCACCACCGCCGTTTTCACGGTCGATCCCCCGCCACACAACAGCAAAACGGTCCGCAAAAACGTTTCCTCCGTTCTCCTGCCGCTCACAAAAAGGGCGGCGCCCACGGCTTCGTCGGCCTCGATACGAATTGGTTTCTCTCCCGCAGTGAGCCAAATTCCCTCAACTTTATCGGCATCGGAGGCGAAGAAGAGACTCGTGACACTAATTTCAACAACTACTTCCGCCCCTCCAAGAAATTCTCCGTCCCCTCAAAACACCCGCCACCACCACCCCCACCACCCTCCAACAAGATAAAAAAATCCAAACAATTTTCACCCCCACAAATCATCCCAGGTCGAAATAAAAATAAATCCCTCCAAAATAACCAAACCAGCTCCTCCCAGGACGAATTAGAGTGCCAAATCCAACTCGAAGATGAAGACTTTGACTCGTATTCTTCCTCTGATATGAGGAAGAAAAACCTGACTTCCGGCCCGAGCAAGCTTACCACCACCACCACTGCACAATCCGAAATTGGCTACGGTCCAAGCAACATGAACTTTAATAATAATAAAAATATAAATAATTCCCTCTCCTCTTCCGCTTATGAAGATCAGGAAGAAGAACTCGATCTCCGTCTTGATGAAGAAAACGACTCGGAGGAATTGATGCGAGATGATTTGTTCGATTATTTAGATCAATATGAGGAAGGTGAATTTGAAAAAGAGCAAGAAATCGGGACTACCTTTCCTCAAAATAAAACTACTGATGCAATCATTAACACTACAACTGTCATGATCAATCATCACAATAATAATGATAATGGTGACGATAATCATCCTAACGGGAGCCGTCCCTTCTCCCACCACATCATGTATCTGCCGAGCTACGACGCGAGGAAAATATTCAATCAGAAGAATCAAAACTGGCGCAGAACTAGGAGCGTGGACGCGTTGGATTCGGGCGAGAAAAGTCAACTTTTTAAAAGGATGCCGCCCCCAGGGAATAATAATAATATTAAAATTCAAAATATTAATCAGGAGAGGATTCATCATATCCAAGTGGAGGAGAGAAATGACCGGAAAGTGTCTGCGCCTTCCTATCTGGAGACGAAACACGTCAGTAATGTGACGATTAAGGGACAACGTGAAATCGACGAGGAAGAACGGAGGGCCCAAAATAAGAAAAAGTTCAAGTTCCAGAGTACCCTGAGGGTTCAGGAGAGGCGGAAAATGGAGGAGGAGCTAAGTCGTGAAGCGGATCAGAGGGAGGAGGAACGTTTACGAGAGATCGAAGAGATGAAACGGGTGGAGGAAGAGTTTCAAAAAAAGCGACGGGACGAAGCTAGAGCGAGACAGGAGCAGGAAGCGCAGCAAGCTTATCAGCCTCCAGTGATCGTGGGGGCGAAAAAGTTTGGGAAAAGTAATAATAATAACCCGGGAAATTTGGATAGTGGTAAAAATACCCGGGTAGTTGCGAACAATAAGCAAGAGTACAATAGCCATCATTATAAAATGATGTCTCAACGGCAAGAACCGGAAGGAGCGCCGGCGTCAGTGACGGTTAGTTCGGCCTGTAATTCATCGGCGTCACCATCCCCACCGAATTTAAATTTAAACGGGACTGGGCAGGATTTAAGGAAGGAGTTGATTAGTGCGTCTAAAAAGAGGAGTGGACTTCCTTCAAATGGTGGACACCAAACGCAAGAATTGTCCGAATATCGGCAAGAAACGAGGCAATATTGTGACTATCGAAGGGCCCCACAGAACGGAAATCATCACCGGCAACAGTCACCAAGTCCGGCAAGGTAGAGAGTTAAATAATCGGGAAATTTTATTTTTTTTAATGACTACAATTTGGACCAGGCACAAAATGACAAAATTTTTAAGGAAAATTACGTGAAAAATGAGTGACAATTGTTCCGACTAATTAGACGATGTCAAAAAAATTACAAATATTTTTTTCAGATTTGCACAGTAATATTTTGCACAAATATTTATGTTTTTTTTTATAAAAAAAGTTCATTCAAAAAGTTAATTGTATACGTGTTTATAGTTTTAATTAAGTCAAAATAGGACATTTTTTGTCATTTAACAGTAATAATGATGCAATTGTAAATATATATATCTAGTGCCATTTTATTTAGTTAAACAGGTAAAAACACACCTGTTTCAAACTAATTATTGCACAAATACTGAAATTTTTTTGTATAAAACGTGTTTCACAGTTTTCCATGAAAAAAATAAGCTTACATCAATTACCTGCAATTAAGAATAATATATGTAATGCGACAGTCAGGATTAGGAAAACAATATTTTATTTTATTCCATAAAAAAATCTTGTTATTTGGTTTACAAGTCAATAAGTGCCAAAAAAGGTTGGAATTTTTGCGTAAAATACGAAGAAATCCTGCGACACGAATTTAAACGCAAGCTTTTAAAGGAAGCCGACTCGACTTGATTTATACCCGACCTGCAGCCAAATTAGAGGAATGCCATTAATTACGCCGTGTCAAAAACCAGGATGACACGAACATAGTGCAAAAGACCAGTTTTGTGTTTTCCTGTGTGCCATTGAAAACTTTTCATAAAATATTCCATTCCATGCACACAAATTGTCGAAATAACGAGATGAACGATACCGTGAAAAAGTGTGCAGCCAGGAAAACTGGTTAAATCAGAATGTTTCGTCGTAAATAAGGAACGTGTCATCGAATCGTCACCGAGGGAGGAATGGACTGTGACGTGACGTGGTGACGATATGCATACATAAGCTTTAAGATAATTAAACACACATATTATGTAAATTAGTTGATAAGTTTAATATGAAAATAAGAGTAAAATCGTCACTCACGAGAAATATGACGGAGTATTTTACTAAATATGACTTGTTGGACACGTGGGGCTGGACGCTGACCAATGTAAAATGAGACCCTGTTGACGACGAAAGGGGACGATTTTTTTAAAATCCTGTCAATCAGACGCGACGTCTTTTGGCGACAAGTATGTTTTCTTCATGACATGAATTACTTAGATTTGGATCAATTTGGATTTAATCTGGTATAACTGGTAACTAATCAGACTAACCCTAATTTCAGTTTTGCATGAAAATTGCAAAACCCTGGACTAAAAATTTGTACAGAATTTTGCACGGTTTTACATATATACTTAACAGACTGATGTAAAATGGGAATGAACTGGTGTTTCATAACAATTACGAATTATGTACTAATCAAAACTAATTTTGGTACGGGTGTAATTTGACCACGGGATTTAAAAAATTGTGAAGATTTCCTGCTAAATATTTGAATCATGATTTTCAGATTTATTCAAAAATCGTCCTCCTCGTCTGACATATTTCCAATCCCATCGAGGCGAAGGCCTGGCGGAAGTCAGAGCAGCAAAGTGAGCGGAAGGTCAAGTACGACGACCTTGGCGGCCACCGTGCATCCCGAAGTGGTTTGTGACATCCCGGTCAAACCGCATCCGTACATGGTTAATGCGTCCAGTAAGTATTATTCAATACTTTGAGGTCAAGGGTCAATAATTTGCATATTAATAAATTCTAATTTCCCTGCAGGACTGGGCGGTTCGAATTCCACCGTGCACCTCTTGACGTCTGACGACCGTCCCAATTCCGTCCTCGGATCTGCACAGAATCTGCACCAATTCGGAGGTCAAATTCGAGGTCAATCCAGTCCGTCGGGTCGTGGCGGGGACAACTATAGGCGTGACTGGGCCCATCATTTACTAAGTCGGGGAGGCAGCAATGGTCTTGGTGGAGGGCGTGCATCCAGCGTGATGAGTCTGCATTCTGCTCCACCCATGAACTCGGATAATTTTCGAAATAGTACCAGCGATCTGAGCAGGCTGAATGGGGGCAGCAGTGTTCGAACGGTGTCTCCAAGTGGGGGAGGTGGATATGTGAGACAAAGGTAAAATATTGCACCATTTTGACCTATGTTTATGTAGGTGTGACCTTAATCATGTATTTTTTTATACCCAGCACCACGACAAGTGGTCCCAGTTATCGTCAGTATTCTGCTAGTCCTCCCCCCTCCGCGAGCCCGGTACCATCCTCGACGACGGATCCTTATTTCCATCACCAAATGGTAAATTGAATAAGATTTCTGGGGACGTTCGTAAATTAACGAAACGCTCAATGCGATTTTTTGAACCCCCACACCCTGTTGTAACACTTTCCCAAATCCCCCTCCTCCTAACGTAAAGTAAATTAAAATTTCCCCCAAAAGAAATGAAAACCAGGAATTTTTAATTTTTAACGCCGGAATAAATTTTAAAGTACTTAGTAAATAAGGAATAAGTAAAATAGGTAGGGAAGATTTACGACAACAAAAATCGATAATGTAATAATTAATTTAATTCAATACCATTTTGCGGCCACCAAAATAAGTTACTTAACGCTTGCCTCAAACCCCCCTCCCCACCGGTAACGGTTTGTAACCAAATTTTCAAACCACCTCCCTCCCCTTAAAGCCTTACATACGTAATTTAAAAAGCGTCCCCTCTAATTTAATTGGGCAAATTTTAAATCCCAAGTTCTATTTTCAAAATCTGTACATTTTTGTCTTTCACAGAGTGAAACAAGTAGCCGTGCCAGTCCGGTAAGAATGACTTCGAGCACGACCGTGATCTCGATAGGACCCCAGATGAATAATGTCATCAGGAAGAAGCCAAAGTCGAATAAGAAAGGACCACCTCCAACACAAAATTTGCAAAACCAAGCCCCATTGTCTCCCATTTCCACACCCCCATTTCAAGCCCAACCCTACACGAGTAACAATAGGACGAGAGGTTATCGTCCCGTATCGTTCAAACCGCCCCAACCTACGACTACAGTTAATTGAGACGAAAAGTTAAACAGATAACTAATGCAGTTTATCGAGAAAATTGCTTATCTTGTTAGATTATCTGAGACGAAATATATACGATTAATATACGCCAATTACAGAATTAAATATTATTACGAGAATAACTAGTAACAGGGAAATGAGAGCTTCCATTATTAAGGATAATCGTTAATTTTAAGGATCCGGTAAAAAAATAAATTCATTTAATTTTAAAAATGTAACTCAAATAGTATTAATTAGGTTATAAAATGGTTCAATTATGTTTTTCGAAAAATAAAAATAAAATTATGAGTCTGATCTTCTTGATTATTTCTGTGCAAGAATGACTTCAAGAAGTGTTTCCGTGCCTTATTACATACATACAACCTTCGTATTATTACAAAAAGTTGGGCTTCTGGTCGCCTAAATGTTGATTAAGGTTAGTTTGTTAGGATACTTAGGGAGTTTTATTTTTTAGAAATTATAGCAAAAATAAAATCATATTTGTTAAGAAATATATAATATTTAATATAAATAATTTAATTGCCCGTCATTAACATAAACATACCTAAATGAAATAAATCATAGATGAGAGAATTATAAATATGTATGTGTACCTATTAAATTTAAACGCATAAACTTACGACTATGCATTTTATTTTCGTCATGAGACTTTAATTAATTAGTATTAGTAATTAATCAGTATTATCAATAGTTCACAGTGACATGCTTTATTAGTACGTCATAAAATCCATAATTTGTAAGGCCTATTAGTCCAGCCGCGAATGGGGGGTCGAAATGAATTTTCTTATCGAAAGGATATCCCATGGGCTTATCGTCGGGATATTTCTCCTAGAAAAATTCCGAAAAATACAGCTCATGAAATTTAAATTGCTTAGAATTGTCCCCACCCCATAAAAAAAATGAATTAATTTCTACTCACCCAAGGATGTCCACACAAGCTTAGAGCTGGAAAGTTCATCTCATTGTCGACCGTGTAGACGGCGCCCCCATTTTGTCCCGCTTGGGCAGGGGACACGAGGACAAACAATTTCATGGCCAACCCGTCCGCCGTTCCTTTGGGGAGAAGGAGATGACGCGGCCAACCACACGCTCTCCGAAGTTTTTGGTCCTCATGCCCCACGCACACCAGGCTCCGACCACTCGGTCTCGTAAGGCGATTCTGTCAGGGGAAAAACCAGACTAGAAAAATATGTGGGTTGGATTTATGGTGGAAACGTGAAAATAGGTTTGCTGGGATAGCGGGGAGAAATTTTGAACGTTTCCGGAAATTTTCGACCAAATTTAGGAAATTTTCGAACACTTTCCAGAGATTTTTAAAGTTTCAGGGAATTTCGAGCATTTTTTGGGTTTGTTTTTTCCAGGGCGTGGGAATTTTCCGAAATTTTCTTCCCCCGGTTTTCAGGGAATAAAGTAGAACTCGTACTCGTACAAAACTAAATCGTAGAGAATAAAATTCAGGTAATTTTTGAAACTAAAAATTTCATAAAATGATCTTGCAAAATTAAGAAAAGTGACATCTAGCATGGACAAACTGTTCCTAAATTGCATGACCCGATTTTTCACCGAGAATTGTAACTGTACAAAAGTTTACACATAATAAAAAAATGCAACACGAACCAATCCGGGCTTGAGAACGAATGGAAACTTGTCCATTTCAAACATGCTCCAGTGAAGGTCATCTTCTGAGGAAGGCTTCCCATCCGCTCCGAGATATGGTGCCATGAAAATACGTGCAATGAAGTTTTCTACTCCCATGTGACCTGACCATATCTCTAATTTATAGTCGAATTCGTGGTAATTGAGTTGTTGTACTTTTGTTTGAAATATTTCACCCTGCTGAAAAACCAAATAACAAGTTGTTGTTAAATACATTAAAAATATATTTACCAAATTTTTAAAAATATGAAAAAATAAAATTAAAAAGTTATGAAAAGTACCGAAAGTCTGTTACAATCTACAACAGCGTTACTCACGTCCCTCGTCACGTCTTCAAAGTATGTCGTGAGTACTTGTACCTTGGGCGTCCAAGGCCAAATATTCCAACCAAGGGTCCCCTTCCTTTGCAGTTTCAGAGATCGTAATTGTACTCCTGAGACGACCAGTTCTTTCTGGGAAAATATGCCAAAAAATGTGGAAAAGCTCGTCGTAAATAAAATTTTCTCAGATTATTATTAAACAATTACTTCGCTTCGTATCTGAGGACTTGCGTATTTGTGGCGTCTATGCAAGTTGTCTATGTAGAGATGAATCTGGTAAAAGGTGGGGTCCGGGAGGTTGACTTCTTGATGATCTTGCACTCCTGGCATGGGAAACTGCGATTGCATCAATTATTAATTATTATTATGATGAAATGGTTAATTGCAAATAAACTAAACGTCACCTCCTGTGGATATCTTGGATCAATGATGTCAGCAATGTTTCCGTGCAGATCGCCATGAATGGAGCCATAATAGTCAATATTTATCGAGGATGTCGACGATTCTACGATAGCACCAAACATATCGTTACCCGAAATGTCGGACGCAAAGGACTCTGGATTATTGTGAAGTGGGACCGCTTCCCTATTTCCCTAAGAATAAGTAAGAAAAAAATATAGTTGGAGGAAATATATAGCGCATAGCGCAGCGTCTCACATTTATTGCATATCCGTTTTGAATTGCTTCCAAAAGGCGAGTCTCGGAGTCTCTAAGAATTTGAAATCCTTCCTGTGGCTTTAGCGACATGTTAGGGCCCCGTGTCGGATATTCGCCAAGGTCATAATTCAAGCGGACTGGTTCAAACCCTTTCCTGAGCAGGAAATCATCACTTAAAGAAATTGGCTCTATGTCCCCCAAATTGTTGGAGCGTCTCTCCGCAAAATAGCGTCCCATCAGCTGGTGATGTGTGTAGCTAAAAACAAACGGGTGAGAATTACTGCGAGAATGAATATTTGGTAATAATGTGGTAGGAATAATTTGTTGTCCGGCGGTCACAAAACAGAGGTCGACGCCGCTGATCTAATGGCGCGGGAGGTCGGAAGCATTTTACGCGTCGCAGTTGCCGAAAAAAAATTATTGCCTTTTCCTTCAACATCTTGGACACCGCCCCGCGTCTCCGAAAACCCACAAAAATTTTGCGCCTTCACCGCCGAAAATTCGTCGGCGTTGACCTCTGTCACATGTAATACTCCATCACCACTCCATTATTTTGTTGGTAAACGTACAAAAACAACTCTCCCTTCCTGTCCAACACGAAGCCATATTTTTTATTATCCATGACGTTCGGGAGGTCAGTGTGCCACCAAAAATGGAATGACTCCAAACTCGCGTCCTGTATCCAGTAGGCGGGCTCGTCATACACGTCGACATGTCCAGCAGGTGGCGGAGGTGGTTCCGGAAGCCGATTCATGCTTCGGATCACTTCCTTCCGGGTGTACAACTGTGGCAGCGTGTCATAAAATACGGGTGGGGACAATAATCCGAAAAACTTTGTAGAAAACAGTGTCCCCGTGGCCCAGACGAATTGTCCCACATTGACCCGGACAGATAAGTAGGACGTCGTGTTGTAAAATAAATCCCAGCCGACGGGTTGCGACACATCGATGAAGTAAAGAATTTCGAAGATTGTTGTCATTTCGTCCAAATGTCTCCATCGTTTGATGAAGGTATCCCACCTCTTGTAAAGTTGGTCTGCATGAAGTTGTTCAATGTATTCCTTTACAGTGGTGGGGTTACTGTAAAGGTTCAGGTAGTTTAAAGGGTTGAAATCTGACATGACGGCATTTATCTGGTCCTTGTTTCGGGGGCAGATGAAATGGAATAAGTTGGATATCTGAGTTTGTCTCGACTTCCAAGTGGCAGCGTCACCTGTTTAGCTAGTACTTATTAAAGATAGCTTAGTAAGAATAGATTATTAATTACCGCTTAAAGTCTGTTGTGATTGTTGTGAAGCAGCTTGGAAAATTAGGGAACTAATAAAGGTGAAAAAATAACAGAATGAGCGTTTCATGATTGCTGTTTTTTTTATAATGGCAAATTTCGCATTGAACTTTGTCATAAGTTGGCTGTCTAAAAAGACTGAATAGATTTAGAGATTTTCTAAAAAAAAATGTGCATATGTGGTAAACAGTTGGTGTATTTCATCATATGGCGCAGGTTTGTATATAGTTTGGATCATCAGCAGTGACCTATTTACTTTGATTAAATTAAACAAATTACAAATGTTACGCATAAATAACTAATTCGAAATTGTGTAATATATGCAGGTGACATTGACGTTAATTAGATTCCATCAAGTATGTGGATTAATTAGTGGTAATTTTATTTCATAGTACTAATTATCAGCCGCAACCCTGTGTGTGGGCTATACTACAGATACAATTTGTATTTAAATATTTAGCCCCATTTTGTAAAACGCTAAAAAATAAACCAAAGTTTATTTCAAAAGATAAATACCACAAAAGTAAAAGCAATAATGACTCAAAATAAATAAATAATGATTAAAGATAATCATTGAACAGTTAAATATTAATATTATCAATCAGTTAAGACAGATCAGTCTTGTTTGCAGAATTCCATTATTAGCATAAGGATTTAATCATTAAAGAAATCTTGATACTGCTGGACGTAAGCCTCCTTTTCGGCCGGAGTCATTTTTGCAATAACGTCGGGAGTGACCTGATTAATCGGGACTCGCTCCGACCCAACCGTGACGACTGGGACGGAATCATCGTCGTCGTCTTCATCCATTACTCCGACTAAATCAAAAAATTAATTCAATTTCAAATTCAGAAAATCAGAAAAAAAATTAAATATAAATATTCACCATCGTCGTCATCATCGATATCCAAAGTTTTCAAATTGTTGGGAATGTTGACGTTGTCGGGATCTTCGTCGTCGTCCGAGTCTGAATCAGCAACTCCAAGGGCAATCGGTTTTTGGGATGAGGCCGAGCCACCACTCATTTTTTCATGTGCCAGGAGTACAGACATGATGTCCTCGCGGGCACCCGACTTCTCTGAAGGTCCGGCTTCTGACGTGGAGGCGGAGGAAGTTGTCGCGCTGGACTGGATAAGAAAATTAGAAGATTATAATATGTAGTTGGTTAGTCAAATTAGTTAACATTTTCAGAAAATGATAATTGTGGAATCGCACAATTTTTTAGAATTTGAAACCGAAATTATCAAAAAAATTAGAAACACAAAGATGTAAAAATGAGTCCAAATCAGGCAATTTACTCACACTTCCTGCATAATCGCCCCCAATGGTAGACTCCCTCAACCAGACGGGTCTCTCCTTTCTCAATTCTTTAGGCTTATTGGCAGAATCGTCCCCAATAGTAATGTCAATCCGAGTCTGATCATTTCCTCCAGATGAACGGGTCGCCTCTCCCGACCACATTCCGCCCCGGTCATTTCGCCCAGAATCACGGCCAGAGTCACTGATCAATAATTAAATGATTAATTTATTAACTGACAATTTAATAAAAGTATTTAGTGGGTACCTGGGATCGTTAAAGTTTCTCGGAGGTTCAGGATCAAGCAGTTCTGGAGCCAATTTGATATTTTCTGCTTTACGTAACAGATCGAAAATTATTTCTAATTGTTCATTGAATCTGAAATGGATATATACAGTTTGCATAAAGTTATAAAAATACATGTATCATCGTATCATTCATGCTTGATTTCTTAATCAAGTCACCTCGCTAACAGCAATCTCGAATCCTTTGGTACTGACGACGACTCATCCTCTTCGACCAATTGGCGACAAAAAGTACAGTAAAAATTTCCCGTCATTGAATCAAACAATTCCCCAGCTTCCAAGTCTGTAAAAGTCTTATCACAATTGGTACACTTGAAAGAGGCCCGATTCGTAGCGTCCCTCTCCTGCGTCTCCATCTTCTTCCGCATATGATCCAACTTGTACTTGATAACGTTAACCAAGGTCTTATAGTTGATGAAATAATAGTTGACCTTCTGCGCCTTGCCGTCAGGACCGGTTTCCATTCGGAGTCTGGTATGCACAAATTTTTCGCTCTTTAACGTTCCCAACCGTGCTCGGAGAAGTTTCGTGTCAAATTTTAACAAGTCTTCAATCTCCTTCTCTTTCATGCCTAATAAATAAACAGTAAATATGATTACTAAATAAGTTAATTAGTTTTACAATTAATTTCTTCACTTACAAACATTCCGCACGAGCATGTCGATAACGAGAGAATCCTCGATTTGGAAGAATGCACGAGCAATAAGACGAGCCAGTTGCTTCAGGTAGGAAGGAATCTCGGTTACGTAGCCACCCTCCATAATTGGCGATTTAATGGAAGGACAATTAGTTAAAAAATTAATTAAATGCACGCACCAAATAATTTACGAATTACGATGCACGGACGACAAAAGGAAAAGAAAGTAAAAATCCGACTGGCGGCGAGAAATGTGAAATGTGAGATTTCCTGACGCACGGAATTCAAAGCCAGTTCCGGCATCAAAGTTTGTTGAGAATTTTGTGTTGAAGAATTTTTTAAAAGTTTTTAATAATCGGGGAACATTTCCGTGAATTAGTTATTTCAAGAGGTGAGTTTTTGATGGTAAAGGTTGTTGTTGTTTGGAGTAGGAAACAGAGAGAGTTTTTTTGATGCTATAAATTTGGAAATTATGCGACTTATAAAATTGTATTTATAAAATTGTTTATTAATTTGCAGGAATTGATAGCTAAGGTATAAAGTTAAAGTAGTCGGTTAAGAAGTTAATCATGATTACACCAGAAGGGTTTCTTCAAGCGGCGAGAAATTATTCGTCAGGTAGGATTTGATTTATCGATGACGATTTAAGCGATTACAACGATTGAACATAATAATTCAATTTGAATTGATTTACCATGCAGGCCACACCCAAGGCCAAGCAGCTAAGGAATATGTGGAAAATCTTCCCAAGACGTGCGACACGCTCGGTCGTTCTCTCCCGTGGTCAACTCTGGATAATTTATGCACTCAATTCACAGGATCACCTGAAGAACAATGCACGATCGGACTGCTCGGAGCACTTTATGCAAAGACAAAATCACCAGATTTCAATACACAGTTTGAGCCTTTCCTTGTCCAATTTGCACGTTCGATTGAGTCGGATTCGACAGATTATCAAAGCCTGAGGGCAGGGTCAGCCTTGGGTAATTTGCTAAATTACAGATTGAAGTTTCTATATATAATTCATCAATTATTCTCGTAATTATTTGTAGTGAGCGGAGCATGCGAAGCGATCTCAGATCAGGTTATTCGCCGCAAAAATCCAATCCTTGCCATTAATTTGATGCGTTCTGTGATCCGGAGGATTCAAAAAGGGCCCCGACAACTGACTGGTGTTCATGCAACGCTATTACAACTATGTTTGTCGTCACACTGTCTAAAACCAGCCCTACCTTACTTGATGGACGATATTGACGACTTTAGCAGCGATGTAATTATAATTCTACATTTGACGATTTATTAATGTCATTTCATAAGTATTTTGTGGAAAATGTCTAGCTTAAGGGTGGCGATTGTAAACAAGTCCTCCTCTACTTTTACTATGGTGGCATGGTCTACACTGCGTTGAAGAAGTATGCCGAAGCGATCTTCTTTTTCGAAGCGTGCACTCGAGTCCCAGCTCAAACCTTGAGTCACATTATGCTCGAAGCGTATAAAAAGTTTGTCCTCGTGAGTCTTATTCAGCTCGGAGAGGTTCCTCCCCCTCATAAATCAGCATTGCAAGTTGTGAATAGGTGAGGCTATAAGTATTTTTGTGTTGATGTGGTTGGTTTATGTGAATAATTTGTGTTTTTGTCTCTGGGTACTTTTCATTTTCCTGCTTTATAAATTGCGTTTTCTGCCATGTTTTTCAAATTCCGTTGACATTTAGAGTATGATTCACAAACAAGCGCATTGACAAATCAGAAAATGCATATAATATATGGATTTCGTTCATTTACTCAACTTATTTTCAATTGGTTAACAGAATACTAAAACCTTCCGCTCAACCTTACACGGATCTGGTGACCGCCTTCTTAACCCATAATCCTGGCGAAGTTGTGGCTGCAATTAGTCGAAATCAAGAAGTTTTTCGACGAGATAATAACTTCGGACTGGTGAAACAAGTCCGCGCCGCCCAGACAAAGTTGAACATTCAGCGCCTGACGAAGACCTTTTTAACCTTGAGTTTAGCTGATGTCGCGGCTCGAGTGCAGCTTAGTTCTGCAGACGAGGCAGAGAAGTGTATTTTATCGATGGTAAAAAAACAAGGAACATTCTTCCATGATTTGTGAAAAAACGTAGAGAGCAAGGATGTTTATTTTATCTTGGTTTGATTTTAGATTCAAGATGGGGAAATTTACGCAAAAATCAGCCAATTGGACGGAATGGTCGTATTTTTGGATGATAATGAAAAATATGACAATCCCAAAGTGTTGGGAAAGGTGGAATCCCAAGTAATAAGATGCAATTTAATTTTACTTATTATTTTAAACTTATTCAATCTTTAAACATTTGAGGATTAATTATGATTTCTTGCATACAATTTTTCGAACAAGGTAATCAATCTAAATTTGCAGATCTCCCGATGCATCGACCTGAACAAAAGACTGTCCGAGATGAACGAGAGGCTGGCCACAAATCCAGAGTTCATTTCGAGGGTTATGCTGACCGGAAGTGGTGGGATCGGGACGGGAAGTTCTCTCGGTCTTGGGGATGATCAAGACATGGCAGTCTCTGCCACGGCGTCATCCAGTTCGGCGTCGACGAGTCGACTTCCATCTTCGTTCAACCATTAATTATTAAAAACTTGGCTTAAAGAAAAATTCAGAATTTTCGATGTGAAAGTAAAAAGAATTGTGACAAAGAGACACGTTTCCTTTCAATTGAATTAATTAAATCTTTGTATACTTTGATGAATGAAAATTAATAAGTAAATTGCAATTAAATAAATAATTACGAGATTTATAATAATAGAATTTTGGTATTTTATTTCGAAATTTTTCATTTGCATAAACTCCAATCTCAATCAATTCTCATATTGGTCAAAAAGTTTGGTGGGTTTTTCTCACTTCTCTCTCAGGAAGATGACAAACAGAAGGTTGCAGGTGGAAGATAAATTTTTAAGAGCTTACAGTTTATTTAAATAGTTAACTTAATGATTAGTCCATGTGTTAATTAAATGGCAAATTACGACAAGGTGAAAATTTTGGTGGTGGGGGATTCAGGTAGGTGACGAAATTGTCATTTCTTTTGTACACACATTGCAATCTGAAATGTAGTTTTAAATTTCTAATTTCACTAATTGTTTTGCTTTCAGGGGTCGGGAAGACGTCCGCCGCTCATCTCATGGTGTACGGGAACCCCCTCCAAAAGCCCTCGTGGACAGTGGGGGTGGCCCTTGAGGTCAAACTGCACGAGTTCAAGGGTGGTACCCCTGCACAAAAATCATACTTTATCGAATTCTGGGACGTTGGAGGATCCTCGGCCCATCGCAACTCGCGACCTGTATTTTACCACGGGGTCAACGGGATCATCCTCGTCCACGACTTGTCAAACAGGAAATCGAAAGCAAATTTGAATAAATGGCTAATCGAAATTTTTACTCCCGTTGATCCTTCAGGTACAAAAAGCAAGGAATTATAAATATACTTGATGTCACAATCACAAATAATGTTTGCAACAGACTTTGCTAGTGAAACTTTGCAACTTTGGCTTTCCTTAATTTAGGCACGCTGAAAAGATCCAAAAATGTAATATAGTTTCTTCCCTCTGTTTATAATTTCAGGATCATCAACATTAGAACCATCCTCGGTAGAATTTGACCCAGAACAGTTCATGGGGTCGAGTCATCCCCCAATTTTAGTAGTGGGGACAAAACTAGATAATTATTCAGGAAACGGTACCGTCGAGGAGGGAAGTTTGCCGACAAGGACGCCCACGCCAAGACCTTCGTCAATCGCTCAAGAATGTGGGGCAGAGGAAATTTTTTTGGTGGGTGAATGTCTATGGTGTTTAATTAGTAGTAATTAATTAATTAATTATCAAGTTATTTACATATTTTTATTTGCAACAGAACTGTTTGGACCCGAAGTCGCTGGCACCGGGATCAACAGCGTCGGTAAAGTTGACAAGATTTTTTGATCGTGTGATTGATCGCAGATTTCATAAAGAGAATCCAAGTGGATTGTATGATAGGAGAAAGTTATATCCGACTAGTACGAATAATAGGATGTTTCAAGGCATGTAAAATAATTAATTTTAATTCAAAAATGTTATTGGAAATTTTTTAAGTTTTTACAAAGAGTTTAGAATACACACTAAATTATATAAATGTAGCATATATAAATTAAGTCATATTTTTGTGATAATAAGAAAGATCAATTGAAAACTGTTGTGTATATGATGAATGACTTCATTCTTTCCAGAAGTAATAACTAATTGCAGTATATAATGCGCATGGTATGATATCATCGTTTCAAGTTGAAACTTCCAGCTTAAATACGTCATGTTTTGAAAAATGTTGTTTTTCACTGGTTAAATCGAGTTAATAATAAGAAATAAGTCAACACAAGTGCCATCCAAGAACAATTAACACGATTCATAGTTCACTTTTAATTTGATGGTAAAGGAAACGTACGAAAAGACAGACAACAAAGAGGTCACGTTTCGCAGAAGCCATAAAGTAAAGCAATAATGGTATGGTAATGTTGTTAATATTTAAATCAAACGATGATGATATGCCTGACGCCGATTGCGATTGCAGCCGTGATTTAATCGATATAACTTCAAGTATGTATCTCTAAATTCCAGTTCGAAAATATTTATTTAAATTCCATCATGTCCATGATCTTGATCCTGCCTGACCAACAATCAGTCATACTTGCATATAACGTTCATAACTGTTTGCGATGTAGCAGTAGCATACCAAGTAATTCATTCACTTTTTATCGGCGTTACGGTGGCGTCCCGATAATATATACACAAGCATTTATTACTAATCTCTGATAAAGGAAAATATCATAAAGATGACTTCACCATTTTTTTCCATCACCATCACGGTCATCATTGTTCGAAGATGGATTAAGGATTTTATGTCTTGATAAGCCCAATAATCCACCTATAAGCAGTATATTATGTGGTCTTGCTAAGGTTGCAACTAAATATCACCCATGCCAATATTCTGCGGAAAATGACATGGTCCGAAAATAATTTGCGTAACAATAAACCAATGTCTGGAAATGAAACATATAAACCTTTTATGATTATAAAACTCTGGACTAAAGTTGTAAAACGTGGCATTCTTCGTTGCGTTCTGGTTTGAATACTTGCTTATCAAATATTCGATAGCTTATTGAAACCATGAGTTTTGCCAATTCTGCGCAATTTTTAGGAGTGATCTTGCTGTTGAGCGGGGTCAGGGGTCAAGAATCGGCAGGTATTGTTTGTAGCTCAATCGTTGTGGAGACACCATGTTTTTGTGGGACTTCATAATTTTAATCATAATTTCAATTTTTGACTAGAATTCGATTGTACTTCGAAACCTAGTGGTCTCTACCCGAATCCAGCGTCGTGCACTAACTTTTACAAATGTTCAAATGGATATGCTTACCTATACGCGTGTCCAGCAAATTTACATTTCAACCCGAGAATTAAGGTAGAGACGCGTTTTTGAAAATTATTTCAAAAAGCGAAATCATAAAAGTAACTATTGGACTTTAGATTTGCGATTATCCTGCAAATGCGGGCTGCACTTCCGGCCCTCCGACAACCCCTCCACCTCCGCCAACAACCACGACAGCTCCGGCACCACACCCCGACTTCGACTGCTTCGGACTTCCGAACGGTTTGTATCCCAATGTGAACGATTGTGAGTCTTACTTCCGGTGCGTAGGGGGCTTCAGCTACTTGTACGATTGTCCGGGGGAGCTTCATTTTAACCCGAATATTAAAGTGAGAATTTGATCAAAATTTTGAAAAGGCAGACATTTTGGCAATTTGAAATATTTGAGATTTTATAATGAATTATACAAATTTGTTATTTTTTAGATTTGCGACCAACCCGGTAATGCCGGCTGCGCTCCGACAACGCGACCTCCAACAACGACACAACGCACGACGACAACGTTGGGACCGTCGCCAGATTTTAATTGTACGGGACGACCAAATACGCTCTTTCCGAATGATAAGGATTGCGGAAGTTTTTATCGATGTATGACTGGGGTCGCGTATCTTTATCCCTGTCCGACCGGGTTGCACTTTAGCCCGACAAAATTTGTAAGTACATGGTTACATATTTACGATCCGATGTCACTTTGATAATGTTAATTTTTTGTGGCAGATTTGTGACTGGCCTTTCACCGCGGGATGCCAGAATGAAGTTATTACGACGACGGAAACACCTACGACAACGACAACGACACGCGGCCCATCGCCTGACTTTAACTGCACGAATCGGCCGAATGTCCTTTATCCGAATCCCTTCGCGTGCACCAGTTTCTATCAGTGTTCAAACGGGTACGCGTATCTGCACCATTGTCCTGCAGATTTGCATTTCAATCCGAGAATATCGGTACGTACGGAGAATGAATGGAAGGTGATGGAGGTCTGTATAAGTTTATTAAAATTGGGTTTCCGTGGGATAGGTTTGCGACTATCCGAATGTTGCGGGTTGCAATGCCACGGAGATCAGCACGACAACGCTAGCGACGACAGAAGCCCCCACGACTACCGAAGCCCCCACGACGACCGAAGCCCCCACGACGACCGAAGCCCCCACGACGACCGAAGCCCCCACGACGACCGAAGCCCCCACGACGACCGAAGCCCCCACGACGACCGAAGCCCCCACGACGACCGAAGCCCCCACGACGACCGAAGCCCCCACGACGACCGAAGCCCCCACGACGACCGAAGCCCCCACGACGACCGAAGCCCCCACGACGACCGAAGCCCCCACGACGACCGAAGCCCCCACGACGACCGAAGCCCCCACGACGACCGAAGCCCCCACGACGACCGAAGCCCCCACGACGACCGAAGCCCCCACGACGACCGAAGCCCCCACGACGACCGAAGCCCCCACGACGACCGAAGCCCCCACGACGACCGAAGCCCCCACGACGACCGAAGCCCCCACGACGACCGAAGCCCCCACGACTACCGAAGCCCCCACGACGACCGAAGCCCCCACGACTACCGAAGCGCCCACAACGACAGATGATCCGACGACAACGCTACCTCCACCAACGGACGCCTTCAATTGTACCGGAAAGGAAAATGGCCTCTACCCAAACCCATCCAACTGCACTACCTACTTTAAGTGCTCTAATGAGTTGGCATACTTGTACGACTGTCCTGCCAATCTCCATTTCAATCCAGTCGATTTGGTACGCGAGTATTTTGATTTTGATGGTCACGTATATATTCATGCATGTACATTATACATCCTAAATTCTGAAAATTTATTAGATCTGTGATTATCCTGAGCTGGCCGGATGCATGCAAACATCATCCACAACTGGAGAAATTTCAACTACGGAGGAACCAACTACAACTCAAACCCCAACTACGACTGAGGAACAAACTACAACCAATTTACCAACAACGCCTCAGGAACCAAGTACTACGGAAGATATCACAACGACAGAGGAAGGAACCACTAGCGGCGAATCTACGACGGAGGAACCAAGCACGTCGCTGCCCCCGCCAACAGACTCCTTCAATTGTACCGGAAAGGAAAATGGCCTCTACCCAAATCCATCCAACTGCACTACCTTCTTTAAGTGCTCTAATGAGTTGGCATACTTGTACGACTGTCCTGCCAATCTCCATTTCAATCCAGTCGATTTGGTACGCGAGAATTTTTATCTTGTTGGTTGCATATATATGCATAATACATTCTATTGTACATGGTTAATTCTGAAAATTTTGTTAGATCTGTGATTATCCTGAGCTGGCTGGATGTATGGTTGAAGTTTCAACTACTGAGAATCCAACTACAACTGAGGAACCAACTACCACTGAGGAAGAACCGATTACCACTGAAGAACCAACTACAACCGAGGAACCAATTACCACTGAGGAACCAACTACAGCTGAAGAACCAATTACCACTGAGGAACCAACTACAACCGAGGAACCAATTACCACTGAGGAACCAACTACAGCTGAAGAACCAACTACCACTGAGGAACCAACTACAACTGAGGAACCAGTTACAACTGAGGAACCAACTACAGCTGAAGACCCAACTACAACTGAGGAACCAACTACCACTGAGGAGGAACCGATTACCACTGAGGAACCAACTACCACTGAGGAGGAACCGATTACCACTGAGGAACCAATTACAACTGAGGAACCGACTACCACGACCGAAGACAATTCGACAACAACTGAAGAAATTTCGACAACAACCGAAGTCATTCCTTCTACCACCGAATTTATCAATACCACTGAAACCCTTCCTCCTCCAGAAACAACGACAGAATTCAATTCGACCGACTATCCGACTACGACAGAATTCTTCAATTCGACCGACTATTCGACCACGACAGAATTCTTCAATTCGACCGACTATCCGACTACGACAGAATTCTTCAATTCAACCGACTATCCGACAACACCAGAACCCACGCCATTCTGCTGGGGACAACCCTGTGGGACATATCCCGACCCTTCCTCCTGTTCCGGTTTCATCCTTTGCACGGAAAATGGAAACACATACCACACATGCCCAGAACCTCTCGTCTTCAACCCGTCAATTCTAACCTGCGACCTTCCCGAGCGGGTACCCTCCTGCTTCTCGTGCAATGGTCGAGCGAACGGATTACATCAAAATGTCAACGACTGTCGCACCTTTTTCATGTGCTCGCGTGGTAACGCGTACCTCTTCGATTGTCCAGATAATCTCGTGTATCGACCGGACGAGCTTTTCTGCGACTATGAGTGGAACGCTGGGTATTATTGCGCCAACACCAACATGACGACGACAACGGAGCAGACTACTATCCCTTACTGGACCCTTAAACATGATGCTAATGCTGTCGTCGTTTAATTAAAGTAATTATTTTTAAATGTTTCGTCTTATTTAATCGATATACTAATAAATTTCATCACCACCTCAAAATTGAATTAGACTCTCGAATTTTATTTTCTTCAGACCAAATCTCATACATATTTTTTACGAATCGTTTCCTAATGTTGTACATAAATTAGTAGTTTTCCTTAATGGAAATAAGCGCCATGATGCGCAACAACGGCTGGTGCTGCGACCGCGTGATGAACAAGTGGGGCGTGGGCAACCGTGGCGTGGTGAACGACTGGAGTGGCGACACGGAAAGCGGGCGCGTATGGAGCGACGACGGCCGTTCGGATGATTGGTCGTGGTTGAGCGTACACGATGGGTTGAGCGTGCGCTACGGCGAGGACCTTGGCGGCTGGAGCGCGGTAAGCGTAAGTCGAGGCGTATGCGGATGGGACGACAGCGACGGATCGGACGACCGGGGTGGCGACGGCGTGGTGCACGACGGGGGCAGCGTGAAGAACTGGTGCGGCGTGGACGATGGGGGCAGCATGGGCCACCACGGCGTGGGAATGCTGGGTGTACTGGGCTTGGTAAGAGCCTTGGATTCCTCCAGCGGAAGAAAGAGCGACAGTCGCCAACAAGGTGAAGATGATCTGTAAACAAATTTTTTAAAAATATTAAATCAAAATTTTGGAGCTATTTTGGAAAATAATTTCCTCTTACGTTTTGCATGATGATTTTTTGTAGGAAGATTTTTGTACTTTTGGTCAGGAAAAGTGAGGTATGCTGTTACTGTGAAGATGTGAAGGAAAGAGTGGAGCCTTTTATAGAAATAAAATATTTGTTTCTCTTCTTAACAAGCGAAACGATATGAGAAATTAATTTAATGAAAGGTTGGGTCGTAGTATGTAAAGGAGGAGATGAAGATTTTTGGCATGTTTTTTTGCACATCCAGTGTGACCAGACGCGTAAGTAAGTACCTGACCATTCGTATGAAGATATTGACATGTGAGAATGAGACAAAGGAATTGCCATCAAATTCCGTCGTCACTTCCTCACACGCTATGTATGTAGGATACTATTTAGTTGCAGAATGCGCTATAAGTATATAGTAACGGCATTTTGGACTAATAAGTAAGTAATTGGCAAATCCCATACTGTTCCTGTGATAACAAACCAACAATGCAGTGCGCCAGCCAACAATATATTGATCAGTGATCACCATAAATTCAAGGGTATTAGAGAGATGAGATATTGGCCATAATACTGCGAGTGAGACGAGCACAATGTGAGACGGTCTGTTAGTTGGGAGGCAAGGTGAGACACGTCTCATCCATCTCACACAAGTCATCATCATCATCTCGTCTCAATCAGAAAGGAACCAGCTTTACTAAATCATACACATTTTCATGAGCATCAATTCTTCTTCCTGATTATCCAGCCAAAACAATTAAATTACTATTACTTTGATAAGAAAAAACTAAATCGTAGTATGCACGATCACGCCATTTATTGTGTTCCTGGATTAACGGTGGTTTGAGGTCACGCCTCCAAATTTTGACTGCTCCAGACCAATTATAAGCAAGTAACTGGAGGGTGGCATGATGTGTTATCATCGTTCTAGTTGCTCTGAATAATTAATTGATTTGATAATGGAATATAAAATCCTTGCAAAAAAAAACAAGCACTATGTGACAAATTTGTGTTATGAAACAACAACAATCATGTTCATTTAACCCTGACAGGACTCAAGTCATAACTCTGTATCTCATACAAATATAACTAGTTTTTAAGCAGAATAATTTGCTCCTTTAATGGTCTTGGACTTGATGATGATGACGCGTTCCGGTAGAAATAAATTTTTGGATCGTGCTTTTATTTTCCATGTGGTAAATAAATACATAAGAACCTGGTTGGTTAGAGTGGGACATAAAATAACGTAACCTTCATCGGATGATTGATGGAATTTTATCAACCAGCAGTCTCATGAGGAGACTGATTTCATGGTTAGTTACATATACGTATGTATTCTACATATACATAATGCACAATTTTTTTGCTGGTAAAATTAATGTTACGCGCTTTTCGGAATTTTTATGAAATTGAACAAGAAATGTTAACAAGAAAGTAAAATCTGTCATTGGAAAACTAGACTGTCGATTAAAAAAGTATATGTTCGAGGGTATAATTGAGACGGCGATTCTTCGTTAGTCATATTTTTTGAAAATTATGCAGCACTGAAATCAGTATAGTTCAAATAATCGGAATAATTTCAAAATCCAACAATGTCACCCTTGTTGGAAGTCACTAGATTACTAAAAAACTAAGGAATACTAAAATAAACTAGAATACTAAAAAAACTAATCTAACAAAATGTATAATTATACATTTTTAGTCATCATGAACAATAAAATAAATAAAACTTTGAACTGCATTTTTTTGTTCAAGGGATTTCCAAGCCATAAGCTTCCAGGTATCGATGAATCATTGTCTTCGTCACGAAGTTACTCTCCGGTTCCCACGAATTGAATTCACTATTAAAATACAAAATACGAATATAAATTAGCAATTGTGATTCACTTACATAATTTCTAACCTTGACTAATCCTTTTAGTGTTAAGCTAAGTACTCACGATGGACTTTTCACGTGAAAAACGACTTTTGCTTCAATTCCGCTCAAGTTAAACCCGAGTGATACTCAGCTTTTCGAGTGAAACTTTTGCGGAATTTTCGTACAATTTAAGTTCAAAGTTTGAGCTAGTCATTATTAATTCTTATACTAATACTAATTGTATTACAATTTGCATTACCAACCTTGACCATCCGATCCATTTCACGAGATACTCGTGTCCATTAGATCGGAGACGCCTATCCAAGACCGCTTCGACCTCATATTTGTCGGGTTCATCGCACACTCCAATTTGCTTAATAGATTGAGGGGCAAAGGTCCAATCGATATAATTTTCTGGGTCCAAATCGCTGAACTGAACTTCTCCCCTTATCTTGGATCGCCTTTTCGTTGCCTTCAATATTTTCCTGTTGCTACTATCATCATTACCAGCATCAACGGCATTTTCTTGGGGATCAATATCGATGTTGGCGTCTTCTTCTTCTTGTACTTGTCGCGGTGTGCTGCAAGTGGAAGTGGGAGGGTCAATGTCAATGTCCTCGCTTGAAGCAGCTTCAACATCGCAAACCTCGTCGTCACTGTCCCTTATGAGTTTAAATATTGTATTTATTAATACTTAAGTAAATATAAATGCATAATTCATACGTATACAATTTACATTGCGATTGCCTGGCTGGATGATAAGGAAAATGCTGGTGGAGTAGCAATGGATGATACCAAAGGCACTTGAGTCCTACTGGACGATGACGAAGGCGCCTCAGTTGCCTTGGATGATGGCGAAGGTGCTGCAGTTGCCCTGGACGATGGCGAAGGCACTGCGCTGGCCCTGGCCGATGACGAAGGGGCTGCAGTTGCCCTGGCCGATGACGAAGGGGCTGCAGTTGCCCTGGCCGATGACGAAGGGGCTGCAGTTGCCCTGGCCGATGACGAAGGGGCTGCAGTTGCCCTGGACGATGACGAAGGGACTGCGGTGGCCCTGGATAGTATGGGTGGTTCTTTTTTCGCCCACAAATCCTTGAACATCTGCCTAATTCTTAATATCTCTGGATCTTGACCTACACCCAGTACAAAATCTTCACCAGGTTGAAAATCATCTACAAAATAAACCAACAAAACAAATCAAACACAAAAATATCGACAAAAAGTGCACAACATTTACATATCCCCATTCTAAATGTACATATTTACCTATGTCGCCAATGTAAAAATCGACATCATGATGCACAGTTTCAATAACCGTGTCATTAACAGGGTCTAGCTCGACACACGTCACGACATCATTTTCAACGGAATAACGTCGCTTCACCGTCCCCGTTTCGATCAAGTCCTCCGCGCCCCGCCGAGTGTAGGTGACCGTGTGCTGATTTCTGTCGTCCGACGTCTTCTCGCAGTGGACACCTTTGTAGTACAGACGCCAAATTACCTTCCGAGTTTCGCCTTCTTTTGTAAGGAATGTCCACACCCAGGGGTTTTGAGGGTATCTCAACCTCTCGTTGGTCACAACCCTCATTTTTTTGACCGCTGTAAACTACAGGTGGAAAACGACAGAAAAATAATATAAATAGTGCAAAAAAATATACAAACAGGTGTTCGTCAAAGTGGGGAAGAGAGAATGAGAGAAAAGTTGAGAATTCTGCTGACCACGACTCACGAGCAGATGGAAATTTATCTCGCTGTCAACATGTAAAACAAAATAGTTCAAATTTTCGAAACTAAAGAATGAAAACTAAACACTAAACAAAACTAAAAGTAAAACTAAACAAGCATTGGTCTGATTGAAGTGGAAATATAGCATAGCTAGCGCTATCCTTTATAATAAGAAAATTATTTGACTTTTGCATATATTAATATTTTCATTTTGTCATTTGGCATTAAACTCATACAATTTTCATTTTCTTTTGATATTTTCAATTTTTCGAAAATGTAAATGAAATTTGTGAACAAGTGGATATCGTTGAAAAGGTTTTGGCGAGAGGATTCAATATATATGCATATTTTTTTGGAGGGGGGGGGCATGACCACTCTCCAGAGACAAATGCCTTTATGATTCGATATTTTTTTCAATTTTTTTCGTCAACGTCCTTTGAACAAGTAAACTCTTGACAAAGAACAAATCCAATTTGCAATTTTTTATAGAGTTTAGTTTAGGTTATGGCAATCAAGATTAAGTGTCGATGTAATTTTAATCGCATTTCGAAATATTTGAAATACAGGCAGTTCAAGCAAGCAAGAGTGAGTGAGTGAGTCATTTTCAACTTTCAATTGTTGTTGAATGGCGTTGCCGTTTTTATTTATATTAATTGACATACTCATATTTTCAATTTCATTACAGATTTTTCAATACTTGAATAATACGATGGGTCGTTTCCCGTTTGACGAAAATATGAAAATTAACCGATTTTTGAAAATCTTGACTTATTAAGTCAAGATCTGATTTACATATAAAACAGAAATTCAAATCGCCACTTATTATGTAAAGTAATGAAACGGCATTGCCGTTTTCCATTAGGGATGGGAAAATACTTGCAATGTTTGTACATACATTTTTCTTACACAAACGCAAACTTAAGTGAGATTTGGCTTGACTCTTCTAATTTTAGCCAGTTAAAGGTCTCGTTCCTTTAGTCGACAGAAGTTCAACCCTATCTCTTTTCCTTCCGTTTCTGTCTATTTCTACGGGCTGGATGACTCTGGTATGATTTCGGCAGCAGGAACATATGTGCATGTGAGATGAGTGCAGTTTTTTACACTTTAAATAATATGATAACCGATTTGATAACCGTAATTGTCTGGTAATAATCTGTTACCGGTTGGTTTGTTACCTAAGTGGGAAAGCAATTTGTTACCGATTTCGTAAAAAAATATGTTACTAAACATAAACATCATTTGTGATCATTTGTTGTATAGTTATTTCCACCCGGTAATAACTTGTTACGACATTATTTAGAGTGTAGTACAGTTGTTTTTAAGCATACAGTACAAAAGTGAACAGTTTGCATGAGTAGGACGAGACTTCCGATTGGTTTGATGTAATTTCGCAGAAAAACAGATCAACAACATCTTGAAATGACAGTATTTTGGGTTTAATACTCTCGTCTTCCTCTGCGTCTTCTGGTGTGTTTCGTTTAATTGAGGAATCCAGATTATTATATAGGAAGTGGAATTTTCCGCATGAATAATAAAAAATTTAAGAAATTAAAATTTTTTAAAAGTTTATGCAATAAGAATCATCATATTTACAAAATTGATGCGCAATAATGATGCACTTTAGTAATTAAAAATATGTATCGGTCATGGGTCATGGATCTTGATAGACGACGTCACACTGGTGTCTGCAATTAAGACTAGTTCGGAAATTTGAAGGCACGCTAGGTTTTAAGTAAATGAACTCATATATCACGCTAGAACAATAAATATGCCGCAAAATAGGTATAAATTTTTGGTCCACAATAAAATGAACAAGAGCATTGGAAGGACAAGAGATGTGTATATAGGGAAGAATACAATGGTTTTCGAACGATCATGGCAATCATCGCATGTCTCCTTCAACTTGCAAGGATGACAGGGTTTTCAAATTTTATGATTTTACTTTTACATGCAAAATTCGTATTCTGCATTTTTTTGCATTTCACATTATTTTTTACCATTTGCTGTTCTTTCTAAAAAAATCAATACGTTTTCTTCTCAGTTGACAAGCACCAAAAATCAAATCAGCAAAAAAAATCCACCACAAAATTCATGCCATCTTGCCATTTCTGAAACCCTGTTTGTCCTCTCCGAAATTCCCGAACCGTATTTTCCCCCTACAGCTCTTTCGAACATCCAAACAAACCCCGCATACGTACACGACACCCAAACTCCACTCCACAGAAATGAAACGACCCGAACCCATCCAATCCACGGAAAGCAGAACTTTATAGAATATATTTAGGTTTTCCATACATACCGCACTGCATAATCATCGCCAGGCAAATATGCATACATACTTTCCTCCTCTAGACTTTACAGATCTGCTTCTATGATGCTTCTGCTGCTGCAAATGCCATTTATTTTTTTAAACTGGGATGCAACACGTTTTAAAGTTGGAGATCGGGTGCTGGCATGTTTTAAAGAAGAATATCGTCAAGAATACGACGGCGACGAGGAGGGCGACGACGACGGAATTTCCCAAATGACTGACTGAGAAGAAGAAAGAGAGAGAATTGAGGTCGGGTGTGGATTGGCAAAATTTGGATTTGGATTCGTGCAAGAAAAATAAGAAATATAAAAATTTTAAGAAGAAAAACAAAATTTTGGTGAAATTTTAAATTTGTAGAAAGTAAAGTGGAGAAAATGTGGTGGTGGTGAAAGTAGCCGAGAACATGCCGAACATGAACATGTGAACATGCCGAGATTTCTGGAAAAGTGTTGCCGTTTGCAGTATTACTTTTTAAAGGGGAAAAATTGGTGCATTATTTTAATTCATAATTAATCGAAAATGGTGGGATTGACAAGTTTTTAAAATGGTTCTAATATTTTTTGATTGAGAAAAGTTGTGATATTTTTTATAGAGTTGAAAAGTGCGGAGGTGTGAAAAAGTGAATTATTGTGTAATTTGAAATCAGGGAGGAAATTTAAAAAAAATATATTCAAAATGGTGCTGCGTGATCAGAAAGACCCTCTAAACACGTCCCGAGGGATTATGGGACCCTTAGAAAACTCTGCAGGCGTGCAGAATAATAGGGGAAGGTTAAAACAGAGGTAGTAAAATTTTGACAATGCAATTTTTAGCTAATTTTTTGATAATTTCGTAAATTCAAAATTTGATGAAAGTTAAAATATGCATGACTTTCATAATTTGATGGGTTTAAAATGTATTATTACTATTTTATATCATATTTTTGACGATTTTGAGTTGATTTTATTGATGTTTTGCTATGATTTTGATGCTATGCACGCAGAGAAATTATAAATATTACCAGCGTGTAAAATGTTGCAGATTTATTACCGCAAATTTCTCTAATGAATTTCGAAAATAAACTACAAATTACAAGTTATAAAAATAAATATTTTTTATTATGAAATTTTCCAGATTCGATCTAATTCGTAAACTGGGACAAGGAACATACGGCAAGGTGCAGTTAGGCATCGATAAGGAGACTGGGCAAGAGGTTTGTTTTCTTGATTCTTCCTTTTCTTCGCCGTTTGTTAAACTTTTCTTAACATTTTAAGTGTCATTATCCCCTCGGATTTCTCGTCTCGTAGAGTTTTGGATATGTACATATGGCACATTGAAACAATGCAATGCGCCTTGTTACACAAAGTTGAGACAGATTTGCTTCATTTGTGCAACCGCAGGACGGCGACTTTCTGACAAGTATGTAGTTTTACTTTCCGAGAGAAAAATGAGACTCATCCGCATTCATGAGAATATTTTAAACACAATAGAATAAAAATGAAACCGTGGAATAAGTTGAGACGAAGAAGTTGGCAACTAAAAAAGTGTTTGTATTTGTAACAATTAGTAAAAGAATGATAAATTTAAATGGGACAACTTTAACGAACTTTAAGGTGAAAATTGTTAAATATTAGAAAACAAGTATTAATTATGTAAGAAACTTATGCAAGGATGACAGGGTTTTCAAATTTTATGATTTTATTTCTACATGCGAGACTCGTATTTTACGATTTCGCATTGTTTTTTAACGTTTCATGCTTTCTTTTTAAATTTGCAAATATGCTTTCTAATTTACAATAGCAAAAATCCACAAAAAAATCAAATCAGCAAAACAACTCCACTACAAAATCCATCCCATCTTGCCATTTCTGAAACCCTATTTGTCCTCTCCGAAATTCCCGAACCGTATTTTCCCCCTACATCTGGAAATATAATTAAAAATTCACGTACACGTTTCAAAAATTAGACTAAATCATTAATTTTTGGTAGACTAAAGCGACATAAAACAAAAATTTATTAATGCTCATATTTTTAAGCAGTCTAAAGATCGGAATCATCCCATACAAAAATTGTATGTTTGACAAATACAGTTGCATAAAGTATTTCATCCATACAATTAATTTTCTCCATTTGCTTTGCTTTGTAAAGTTCAAAGAAATTTCTGCAGTTTGCAAGGTTTACATATAATTTTTTGAAGCCCAAAGGTCAAAACATTTTAGAATTATATTATTATTTGTATTGAGCTTATGACAAAAATTTTCCCGTCACCCGTATTTCTTTGAGTTAGGCATAATTTGGAGAGAGAAACGTTTAAATTTTCCATGCAAAAATAAAACCGTTTTTAGTCTACTTGAAAAATATTATCTTTATATTTGTAAATAGTTTTATATATCTTTATTTTTATTCTTGCACTTCAAAATTACTCAAAAATAAGTAACATGGTACGTAAGTTAGCGAAATAATTAATAATAATTGTTTCGTAAGTAGACTAGTTAGCTTGGGGAAAGGTGTGTCAAGACCATGTCTCTTTTTCTGTCTCTTGCATTTTTTTCCTTCGTGACAATGAAAACTTTAAAGTTTTTTTTGCATCTCGTGTAAAAAACTGGGCGCATTTACTGATACATACACAGTCCTGGCGCAGGACTGGTAATTAGTGCATTTTTTGTTTATGTTTGCCTGAAGTATATAAGAATTGGATACGGAAAGTACCATGTTTGTTGTCTAATGTTTAAGATCAGTATCAATCTGTCATTTTAGTGGCAGTAGTTTGGCCTTCGGCCTTCATGTTAACAAGCCAAATTCCATAGTCATCAATAATTTCGAATTATTACACTCTTAAAAATCTTGGTGTGAAATTTTCTGTCGATGTGTGACGTCTTTTATAGTAAAATTGATGTTATAAAATCAGAAGTAACATATTACAAAATTGGTAACAAAAATATGTCTATACGTTATCCGACATAATCTTGTTGAGATAAATTGAATCTGAAACTTGCTAAAAATAAGATCCAGCCAGATCGTATTTTTAATGAAAATGAATATACAATTTTTTTTTGTCGAAAAACAACAAAAAATTAAACCCTAAATTTTATTGTAAAAATCTTTCAAAAAATTTCTAAGAGTGTAAAATAATTCAGTTACATAAAAACCGGTCCGACTTTCTCAACCCAAGTTTTATTTATTCCTGTGAAAGGAAAAGACGTCATGTTTTTCGCATTGAGGAGTTTTATTTTATTTTATTGGTTCATCATGTGCGAGTATGGATTCATGTCATGATGACGACATGACAGAAATCCCTATTGAAATACGCAGAAAATTTGTACCAGCTTAAAAATACTTGTGTCTTGGTGATGTGTCATGTCATGCCGGGTTAAATGCGTGGGTTGGGAAGCACACAGATAAGCTTATCTTCTCGGTATTATTGGCAAGCGTGCTATTTCTGTTGTGTTTTTAGTTAAGAATGAAACAAGGAATGAGTCATCTAAGCGGTGCATATTTTTTGATTTATTAAGATAAGTATTTCAAAATTATGACATTATTTATGACAATTTCGCCACCAGTTTTTACATTTGTAAAAATTACTATTATTTCCGGTTATACTGTTTGTTTGAAAATTGTTATCAATGCGGTAGTGACAATTTTGTTACCAAATTGTTTCGAATGATATAATATATTGCTTAGTGTTATTAATTTGTATTTCTCCCTGTATGCAAGACAATTTAGCGTTTTGGATAAAGTTTACTCATAAATTGTCATACTCGCACGCCAATTAAGACATTTCTTTTAAAATTAGTTAACTTTTTTGTTTAAAGGTAATGTTTCCGGTTTCCCTTAATATAATAGGAAGAAAATAGAATTCGGGATTTGTAATATAGAATATTTGCTTATCTATTAATATTTAGTTGTAATACTAACTTATGCTTGCATTTATTTATTCTGTTAAAAAATTTCTTTAAGTAGATAAGTGCAGAACGTAATTTTGAACATAGATGAAATTCGTATTTCGTACAAATAAAATTACTTTAGAATTGTATTATATTTTACAAATAGATTAGTCAATGAGACAATTCACGCAGACCTTGATAACATTATAAAATCGGCAAATTCTACAAGCTTTTAAAAAATATTTCGAAGGAAAATAAGGTTACAACAAATTTTTGCAAACTAACGCATTGTCAGACCAAGGGCATCATTTTAATTTGTAAAATTATAAAACTTAACGCGTTTTACAAGTTACCAATAGATGCCTGCGTAAATTGGCTCAATGCAAATCTCTTATACATATTAAAATACGTATAAACCTGCCAATCCTAAGTAATGAAATTATTTTTTCATAAAATACTACAAGAAATGTTATAATCTCTCAGCCACAACGTTTCCTAATTTTACCAAAAATATCATCCAATTGTTAAGAATATAATCTTTATAAATTAATAATCTAATTCAAATTAATGTGTAACACGAATATAAAAAAAACATTCTAGCTCTAAACCTTACAATTTTTCCTTTAACACGTCGCCTGCCCCTCAATCACATCATATCCATATTATCATCCAATATTTGTCTCACTCAAATGCATTTTCTCTGCACTCTTCTTGGGTAGATAACGTAAAATGGAAAACACGGCTAGAGTTGTTAACGGTACTAGATATTAAGACGGGTGCTTTTTTTCACGAAAAGTGCAACCCTATATCGGCTTACGTGCTAAATACATGCATAGATTTCATATGATACAGATATAGATTTAGAGCCGAGTATACACTAGCAAAAGAAAGATATGAGTGGATTTTGTAGTAAAGAAATTCCTGGATGCGACCCAAATGCTTATTTTTACCCTCGCCAAGATTCAAATGCAGAGGAAAATGATGATTTCAAACTCGTTTCCGAACACTACATTCAGTAGTTCGGCAAGTTATGCAATGATTTATTCTGCACGATTCACAACACATTTTTCATTCCTGCACTGCTCATTTGTTTTATTGGATTTAAAATGATTTTAAAAAATTAAATGTGAAATGGCATAATCCGGAGAGAGAAGGGACATTTTAATAAATGAGGGATGCCGACAGGTTGTTTGTCCTTTGAGGTGGTCTTGAGACGATGGAGACGATTTCTTGGCGGAGATGGAGGTCACATAATTGTGATTTGCATAAAAATATGTATGTGAGAGACAGACTTTAAGAATGTGAGATGACCCCGAGAAGAAAATGTTAATTGTGGTTCGCACGAGATTATCCAAAATTGATGTATCTAATTTTTGGCTGTGATTAAAAAAATAAATTTTGAAAAGTACTTATCTAAAGTTGCGGTTGTTTATGTTTGATTAAACTTTGATAAGGAAGTGGATGGGTGTAAATAGGTAGTCGCCCTGATTTCGGGTGATGTCATGTCTCATTTGTGTAAATAAAATATTTGTACAAGATTCTCAATGGTTAAATTAAATATCGTTATTTTGGAGTTAGATATTCACGTTTTAAATGAAATGTATTGTTCGGGATCGCTTTTTGGCTGAGTTTTGGACGGATTTGTTTGTCCATTCATGAACCAGAACGAGTTATATAAAGTGTCGTTAGGTGCATTAAACTCGTTCTGTTATTTGTTTAAATATGTAAACTGAGGGGGGAAATAGATAAGGAGACATAGTTAATATGTATATGTATGTATGACTGGTTACCTTTTCACGCACGTTTCGTACATAAATATATGTCAGACAGGAAAAGTTTGTATAAAATTATATTTTGATGCGATTATGAAACGCCAAAAATCGAGTTTTTGACGTAACACGATTACGAATTAATCTCTTAAGATTATGTGTTGTTTATATGTGTAATGTATGAATTTTAATTTTAGTATACGAAAATTATCATTTAAAGTAAGGTATTAGCTGGATTGCTAATTTTGCTTATTCATAATTCCCCTAAACATGAATTTTTAACGCTTATTTACACATTTTTTAACTGTTGAAAATACTGAAAAGTAATTTTTATGCTTTACACCAAAAACACCAAAAACTTCAAGTTTCAGTTTTGAAGGGTACTTAAATAACTATCAAGTTTGAGAACTAAATCTTGAATTTATGTATAAAAATAATTTGCCATTATTACTGCATTTGTCAAATTGAACAAAATTGAATTAGCACGAGGTTCTATTTTAAAATATATTTTAAAGAATTTTCTAAAAATTTTACGAAAACAACACACTTCAGGACCTTGTAGTATTAGTAATTGTATGTTTAATATAAATCCAAAATCGTAATTTTTAGGTGACCTGAAATACCACAAACATTTAAACAATAAAGTTTTGTTACGTATTCCTTGGTCGGGTATTATTTTGTGCGTCACAAATTGGCATCAGCATGTTTGCCAAGTCACACGCGCCCAGACAAAGAATATGAAAGTATAACAATTAAATACTTTAAAATAGACAACGAACACAGAGAAACGAGAAACCACTCCTGCATTCTTTCTTAAGTAAACTAAATCTATTTAGGATAAATTCCATTTTAAATCCGCATTTTTAAATCCGCAACAACTGCACCTAATTGCACAAGTCGATAAAACATGAATAAATTACTTTTTGTCAAGAAAGCGTGAGATTTTTGCATCTTACCGAAAATAAAAATGCATCCGTCACCAGTTCGGAGCCACAACAAACAATTTGTTTAATCGCTGTAATGTGCGTTGTTTAAGACAATGTTACTTACAGGTGACCCAAATTCTACAAGTTAGAGGCTGCGAATTTTATTCACATATTTATTTTTGGAACATTATTTGCCAAATAAATTTGCACACAATTTGCAAACAATGTGTAGAAGACTAGATTGAATTACTTTGCCAGATCCGGAATATTTTATGGGCTACTCTCCACATAACCGTGAAATTGTTCGGATAAATGTCCTCCTTATCATGACTAATTAATCTTAATGAGCCAATTAAACATACCCCGGAGACATAATGATTGCTTAAATTGACTGTAATTTTTCTCACAATTTCAGGTAGCGATAAAAACAATAAAAAAATCCAAAATTGAGACTGAAGCGGATTTGATCCGAATCCGGAGAGAGATTCAGATCATGTCGTCCGTCCGCCATCCAAACATCATTCACATTTATGAAGGTACATATTTCGGAAAACTGTTACTAAAAATTTCCTAATTTCCAAAGCTTAAAATTGATTCTGAAACTTGAAGTATTTGAAAATCGTGAGAAAATGGTGCTCGTAATGGAGTATGCGGCCGGGGGAGAGCTTTATGATTATTTAAATGAACGAAAAATTCTCCAAGAGGACGAAGCAAGGCGAATCTTTAGGCAAATCGCGTCCGCCGTGTATTACTGTCACAAGGTAGATTTGCATATCGTTAATTGAAGATTCCAAAGGAGCCTTCTCCAGTTTGCGTTAATTGCCAAAGGGTCAAAATTCATTTTTTTGGGGGTAATGAGTTCATTTTTTAGAGGCCAAAATCGGAGATTAGGATTTGAAATCTGTAATTCCTATCGAGCTTCATGCATTTTACGATAATTTGTCTCATAAATAGTGGTTAATTAATTAACTAGTAAACAGTTATAAAATGCATTCATTTGTTGTTGCCAATTTACTTGAGTGGGTCAAAGTTGTCTGCATCTGCGTAATTATTTTTATTCTCTCGTGCAAAATATTGTTTTGAGAGAAGGCACCTTTGGAAATTATTGAAACATAACACGGAGAAGACACCTTTGGACATACAATGGATAATTTTTTGAATAAAAAAGACTTGCGAATTTTATAGAATAAAATTTGTCATCGGGACTTAAAATTGGAAAATATTCTGCTCGATGAGAAATCAAATGCGAAGGTATATTTCGAATTATGAAAATGGAAGAAGGAAAGTTGGAATTTAAAAATAAGTTGAGATTTTTATTTTGCAAAAGATTGCTGATTTCGGTCTCAGCAACGTCTTTGACGATGTCAACATGCTCAAAACATTTTGTGGCAGTCCGTTATATGCCTCGCCGGAAATTGTGAAAGGGACGCCGTATTCTGGACCAGAAGTGGATTGTTGGTAAGATTGGCTGAAAACTTGACATTATTACCTCATCATGTAAAAAACATGTATTTAGCACATCCGCCAGAGTATATACATATATTTTTGCACAATTTTTGCACATTTTTGCTTGAATAGTAATATTTACTATTTTGAAAATAATGATGCACGTAATATGTAAAATTATTCAGTAATATTCAGAAATATTCAGTAATAAGTCATTTCTAAATAATAAGTCATTTCTAAATTTTAAAAATCGTCACAAACTAGTGCTGACCTTTTAAACTATTAGGTCGCTGGGCGTCCTCCTCTACACCCTCGTCTATGGAGCCATGCCTTTCGACGGATCCAACTTCAAGCGTCTCGTGAAGCAGATATCCGCGGGGGACTACTACGAGCCAAAGAAGCCAGCCGAGGCGTCCCCTCTCATTCGAATCATGCTCACCGTCGACCCCAAAAAGAGGGCCAAAGTCGAAGATATCTGTGCTCACGTGTGGATCAATCACGGTATGAAAATCCATGAAATATTACATTTCGCTTATTTACATACGTGAAGCTTCATAATTTTAAGCAAACTGTGCAAATGTTGTAAAATTACAAAGTTATTGAAGTTTAGTTACACAGTTTTACATTCATAAATTCAAGCTCAAAATTGTAAACTCTACAAAAATATGAAGAGGCGACAGTTTTTTTGCTTGGTTTTTGCAAAATTTTAGTTACACATTTTTACGCATGCCAAACGCTATTAAAAATTGCAAACTTTGCAAAAATATGAAAATCTCAAGAGGGGAAAGTTTCTGTTTTTGCTTTCTATGCAAATTCTTAAATTGTTGACAAATTTTTTGACGCAAATATTTCAAATCCTATTTTTCGACAGGATTCGACCAGGACTGCCTACACTCAGCGGAAGAGTTGGCGAAACAAACCCCTGTCCGGCTCGATGTGCTCCTAACGCTCGCCCCCAACATGAACAACCACGCCGGCGCAGCGTCATCGGAAGCAGGGGCTGGGGAAACGAATCACAAAAAACTAAATGAATCCGACTCCGCAGTCGCTGAGCCGCCGAAAAAGGCAAAAATGCAAGGAGGAGACGCCACCGGACAGAAAGGTAGGTCGAGATCGGACAATTACTAACAAATTAATTAAATTATTAATTAATTAATTAAACTTTTTAGTATTATTCCTCTCCGAATCTAATTCAGATGAGAAGATTTTCAATCTAATAAGAAATTATTTATATAAAACTTGAAAAATTCTAATAACAGGATTAAACCTATCCAATCTAATGAAATGGAAAAACTCGATTTATTTTTTTATAAAAAACATATTTTTCGAATTTTTGAAAATATATATATTATGAAAGCCAAAAAATGAGAGACGAATCTGTTTTCAAATTTGTATACGTTATATTTATATTTTTTATTTTTTAGACGGCGTCTCAGTTCCTCAAAAACCCAAGAGAAAAACTCAATCGAAAACGAAATCGAAAACGACCCCCTTAATGCTCGACTTAATCCAGGACGTCGTCGAAGAGGAGAACGAAGACGTCGACATGTCTGCCACACAACCACAAGCAGTCGTCCCCAAGATGGCGCAAGCACATCCCGTCGCCGGGGCAAGTTCGGCGACAAAAGGAAAACCGCCAAGTGACGACAAAGACGACGACGAGTGTGACACTTTAAGTGAAATCAGTGAAATTCAAACCATCGCGGAAGACCTGGACAACATTTCGAAAAAGAAGGAGAGAGTAAAATCAGTCAAAGGAAAGGCTGCTCCGGCCCCCACCGAAAAACCGAAAGTTGTTCCTCCATCACCTCCAGAACATGAATCGCGACCAAAACAGGCGAAACAGACGGCCACGACGAATTCACAACCTCCAGTTTCCACGCCAAAATTGCAAAAGACTGAAACACCCGAAGTTCCCAAGAAAACTGTTCCCGAACCGGAAGTAGTGACACCCGCACCACCGAAACCAGCCGTGGTAAAGAAAAAGATTGTTAACAAACCGAAAGCTACGTCACCTGCGCCACAAGCAACGACGTCGACGACGCCACAAGAAAATAAGGTGACGCCAGAACCCAAACCCGTCGCCCCGCCAAGCGAACCACCACCACCACCGACATCAACGCCAACAAAGACGGTCCCCCAACCGGAAGTAGCCCAACCAGAAGTTAAACCTGTCCCACCTCCTCCTTCCACTTCGGATAAGGACAAAACTCCCGAAGCTACCGACCCCAAGGAGAAAAAGACCCTTGTCCGCCAACGATCCGGGTCCGTCTCGGACGTTTCTCCTACTCGGGTAGAACGCCGAAATTCGAAAATCATCAGTCAAAAGACGGCCGAACTTATACAAAATTTGGAGACCAAGACATCTTCAACGGGAAGTGGGCGAGACTCAGGCAGCAGTTCGGGCGGAGAAGGCAGCGGAACTGGGAGCAGTAAACCACACCCGACCGTGAAAAAATTGGTGATTCCTAACTTTAAAGTTTCCGACGCCAAAAACAAATTTGAAACCAAACCTCCCAGACCAATCACGAGTTCAATCATGTCCCAAAGTAAGGCAGCCTTCGAAGCAAAAGCGGCTGCGTCTCAGAGCACGCCTGCCTCACCACCAGTCAAACCGACGCCACCGCCTGTGGAGAAAGCTAAGGAGAAAGTGGCCATAATTCCAGCGGCAACTGTAGCAAAATCACCCAGTCCAGTACCCAAAGAAGATAAGCAACTAGTCGCCCCACCCGAACAGAAAGAACAAGTTTCCCCCAAAATGAAACCAAAAGTGGTTAAAAAACCGGAAACTTCGCCAAAAGTGTCCACCGCCCCCGTCGCCAAATCAATCACGCCAGAACCACCGACAATTTCCGAGGCGACAGTAACCACCGTTGCGCCAACGCCTCCTGTCGCCGAACCAGAAATCGTGGAAAAAGCGAAACCGAAACCACCCGGTAAAATTCAGATCCCTCCCGGCCTCCAAACTAAACCTGTCGCCGCCGGAAATAAGGTGGTTCCTCATCCCACCACGGCACCAGTTTCTGTCCCCGCCGTGTCGAAAGTGACGTCGCCATCACCATCGTCACCTCCACAAAGTAAAGAACAAGCCGCAAAAAAGATTTCCTCCGTGATTAATAAAATCGTCACTAGTTCGTCCTCCTCGGGCGACGAGGCGAATAAAAAACTCATCCATAAAACCGAGGTCACGTTCCCCGTCGCCGCGGCGGCTTCGGCAGAACGCGTCATCCCGATCAAATTCGAACCAGAGGCTGAACCAGAAACGCCATCTGTGGCTTCAACGAAAAATAGATTTCCGCCCAGGTTCGACTCTTTCAAACGGTTAGAATTAGATAGATTTCATGCTCGGGATTAAAATTTTGAAATTAATTTCTAAAATTTTGATTTTAAAAAAATTTGTTCTCTTTTTAATTATTCAGGTTCGACTCCGCCTCGTCGATTTATTCGCGTCAGAATTCTTCCGATACGGACGCTTCGTGCAGTTTGGCTGCTCCACCGAAACCCGAACCTATTCGAAAAAGCCCACGGGAGTTTTTAATCCCAATCAAACTTGAGGCGAGTGGCGCCGTGGTGACGCCACGGGAGGATGTCGGGGTACAAAGTGACACCGCGTTGGGAGGGGCTGGGTCAGAGGACGAATTTAGGATTGACAGCAGACTACGATCTGGCCGATTTGGGAGTGGGCACAATAAATTTAAGCGATATTCGAGCCTGTTGAGTGACTCGAGTGGAGTGGAGGAAGATGCAACCAGTGCGACCGGAAGTAGGAGGGGAAGTGGGGCTGTAGGGAATAATAATAATGGTGCGAGTGGAGCGACCGTGGCGCATGCGCGGAGTCGAAGCCAAGGGGATGAACCGGATGCGACCGGGGGACAGCAGCAGGCACAGCCGGCTGCGACCTTTAAGCGATACAGGTAATTTATCGATAAAGTTTGTTCCCATTTTCTGTTAAAGTTGTAATTTTTGCGATTTATAATTACATCAATTTTAATTATGGTTACTTCCGGTTTGTTAAAAATTCTTCAATAATTTCAAGCACTTCTTTCCTCCTGACCACTTCTGGTCTATTTCACGTTCTAAATTAAGCCAATTTCCAGTTTTGCGGAAAGTATGGTGGAAGAACAACGCCAGAGCATACTGATTCTTTAAAATTGTTACCACTTTAAATTTCCACAGGGCGAAGCGACCCGATTTGGACCGTAGCGACTCTTTCTCGTCTGCTGAGGAGGACGACGAAGATTTTTTCGAGGTCTTCACCGCAGATTCCCTCTTCTCCAACTTGCTGGATCGGGTGCGCAATTTGACCAAGAGGATCAATCGCGAGGGTTCCATGGGTTCGATGGGCAACAACTGGCCTTCCGCGATTGGGGGTGACGCTACCAACTTTGGATTGTGGAACCCTTCCTCGTCTCTTCGGGATTTGATGCAAAGGTAACAAGCTAAATTAAAGTTAAGTAATATGATTTTTTGCAAAAATCAGGGTTCGCAAAAATTAATCTCGAAACATTAGCATATTATTAACTAAAAACTACTAAAACTAGTTTTTTGCCTGTTTATTTTTGAGACTTGAAAAACAAATTCGCCATGTTTCTTTTACGCAAGTCGCAAAAATTTTGCGTCTTTCAGAAACTTCTTAGAAATTCTCCTCACAAATTATGAATTTCCTAACAATCTCAACACCATTCTCAAACCATATTTTATTCCAGAGCTCCATCCGAAACGCGTTCTTTCGGCTCTACCACACCCGGTGGATTCACCGTAAGCACGCACCGCTCCTTCAGCCGGGATCCGTCCCTCACCATGAACCTCACCTCGACCGGAAGTGGGTCCAACTGGCGACGCTCCCTTTCTCGCGACGTTTCCGGTGATAGCGACTCCTCCTTCGGAGGAAATAATACGGGTCGAAGTGAGTTACTAAATCAAAATCCGAATCACGAAATCGTAATTGAAACGCGGGTCGAGTCGAATAACTCGTCCTGCTCGTCCGTTAACCCTCCGTCGAGTTGTTCCTCTGGGGACGGGGGTGGTGGTGGGAGGAGCAGCAGTTGTGCCAGCACAACCGGCGATCCACCACCCGCACGAATTAACAATACGGCTTCGAAAGAGTTTGTAATTCCGATTAAGATTGTGTGTCGTGAGGATGAAGAGTAATTCATTAATTAATTAATTAATTAGTAACTTAGTAATCCGAGTGATTAATTGTGCTGGATATTACTAGTGAAATGAGTGATGCCATGAATGTGAATGCGTGGATGGAAATATTGTGGTAAACTAATTGGAGGCGTGTTTCTTTTGGAAAAAATTATGAAAATAATGCATGGTCCGAATTTTAAGGTGAAAGTTTAATAACTGAATGGAGAAAGTTTTAACAGAATTTAAAACTATTGAAATATGTACTTGACGTGTTTATTTTTGAGCTTGAATTAATATATTTAGATGCTGGTAATGATAATTAATTAGAGTGAAGTGATTAATTTGATGCGTGTCTCATATTACCTCCGCTTTTACTAATAACCCAATCCTAGCAGCGCGAAGACTTGAAACCTTATTCGTAACGAGATAAGTACTCTTGTTTATTGTTCGTGTCAAATCATTTGATGACTAATTTTGTCAAAATATTATAAAAAAATGATAATTATGTCCAAGTAGGAAAATAAATTATGAAATTATTTGTTCCTTATTAAAATTTAAAATTTTCTTAAAAAATGAGCACAAATGTGTGTGAATGACTTTTTAAAACAATTCGAAACGTGCCCATGATTGAATGTAAGTGTGGAATTGTGTGAAAAATGCATTTTTTCGTTGCTAAAATTAATTATCGTTTGTCAGTGTCCCGTTCCAGTCCGTGAATGAATACATACATACATAAATTATCAAAATTAATCTATCTTGTTAATCCACATTTTTAATCCAGATTATAATTAATTTGTCGCTGCAGATGGTCAGAGTCAGAGTAATTGAATGAAATTCATGGAGGCGATTCATTCGAAGATGATGCACACACACCTTAAATATTTTAGATTTGCATAATTCATTGTTTTCTTAACTTCCATTCTTGATTATAATTTTTGCATTATTATTTTTTTCTGTTTGCTAAAAAAAGGGAATTTTTTCGTTAATAAATATTTAATGCTTGGCTTTGAAATATTCAGCAAATTGTAAAGTTTCAAGTTGTAGTTGTGGTCGGATCGGTGGGTGATTTACTTACGGAGTACATGTAAAATGAGGTCAGTGCAGCGTGTACCCTTAAAAAATTATGATGCCAGTTCATAAAAAAGGGGTGACTTGGGACTTCCATTTTCACAAAATTATGATATTTTTATAATACACCTTCTTTTTTCTATAGTAGAGTAAATTATAACCCTCAAAAAATTCAGTTAAGGTAGTTATTTAAACTTGTCGAAAATTTGTAATATGTAGATTTGCATGATCGTAAAAAAATATTTATCTATGTCCTTTGTTAAATGTTGTAAGAAATAGTCTTCTTTTTTGCAAAATAGCAGTTTTTTTGCTTCAATATTTTTTTACTAATTTAATTCCGACTAACAATTACCTTTAAATTTTTACCCTCATGTGCATACATTTTTCTACACATTTTGCTACTTTTTTGGCGTCCCAGGTCACCCTTTAAACATTTAGGTGCCGATCAAAACCGCTTTTGTAATAATTATAATTTTAAATAAATGAAACAGAAAATTTTTGTTTAGAAAAATAAATATTTAAAATTACGATGCAAACATAGGATAGTGATATTTTTTAGGATAATTTTTTAGAAATTTAGAAAAAATATTAAACATTTTAAACCATTTATTTTTGGTATTACATAGTCTCAAGTCACCTTTTATTTGTGAACAGAGTACAATATCCACTTCCGGTTTTAAGTAATTAATCAGAAATTATTGTGATAAAGTCAAACCTTAATTTCAAACTTGACCGGAAGTGTTTCATAAATTAATAAATTTCCTTGAAATAAAAACTAACCTAATTTCGTTCAAAATTGCATTGCAGGCTATGCCGGAAGTAGTTGCAGCTCGAAAGCAGGCTTGCCCACGGAACTTTTCGAAACCACATCGGTTCGTTCCCTCCCCGTCACACTAAATCGAAGATCACCTTCCTACCTGTCTCAGCGTTCCGAACCGTACGGCAGTGATCGGGAGAGCGTCACCCCAACGCCACAACGCCCCTACGGACGCACCATGTCGTCCACCGATTACGCGACAAATTCGCCCAATTTGTCGCGAACCTTACCGTTCCGCAGGTCACTAAAATCCTTCAACAGTCAGGATCACGATTACTCCGTGGATTCCGTCGTGGGCGCGATTCGTGGCCTGGGTCAAAGTTTGATCGACTCGCCGGCCACGTTCGACCCTGACTCGTACCTGAGACAGATGAGGTCAGACCGGGCAAAAAGTGTGGGGCGAGAATTGGTCGTGAATCGGGAACAAAACCAAAATGGGAATGGATTGAGAGATTGCAACTCCATGGCAAGGATGACGTCAATCAGTGAGACGGACGGAGGGGGGTCAGGGGTCACGGGGGGTGAAGCAGTAGAGACCCCGCCACCGCAGACAAATGACCACCCAGGTCGACTCTCTGTGCAGGATAAGATGAATAATTATACCCAATATTACAACAGTTTGACGGGGGCAAGTCCCGTGAAGCGATTTCCGAGTCAGATTCACGCCGAGAATGGGAGAGGAACTAGTCCATCGCCGAATGCGATCGGTTTAGCGAGATTGAGACCGAGCACGATGTTTGAGACGATGAATGGATCGTCGTCTTCTTCGTCAGGTCCCGTTGGAAATAATAATATGGCGATGACGACGACGTCCGCGGGAATGACGAACGGTAGCGATAATGTGACGCCAAAGTTGACCACGGGGATTCCTAAATGGCCTGGAGTCTCGATCCAGCAATACAGACCGTTAAGTATTTCGAGTTTTCCGTCAAATGAAAATATTGGGGGGAAACAAATCATGGGGAGGGCGTCATCCGTGTCGAGAGTTGTGTCGCCACCGCCGCCGCCACCGCCGCCGCCACAAACGGTGGCGACAACGACGACGCCAAATTCGACAAATATGAATAAAAAAGATATCTCCCGTGCGACAAGTGTGGAAAGGATAACGCGATTTTTAGAAAGAAAGTCGTCCGTCCCGAGAGAAATCCAACCAGTTGAAGTTGGTCAGACACAAAGTCGTCCATTTTCTCCACCAGTTCCGGTCTCTTCATCGTCCCCAGTTCCGGATAGTAGGAGTTCTCCTACAGTCAGAAATACGGCGAATAATAAATCGAAATTTTTACAAAGTTTGGAGAAAAAGTGGGACAAATTTACCGGAAATGGGCAGCAACAGCAACAACAACCTGAAATGGATAAGACGCGTCCCATGTCGCCGACAATCTTATCGGGTCATAGGTCACCACCACCGCAACAACAACAATTTGAAGATGACGGAGATAGAGGGGAATTGTCTTCCACTGAAATAAGCCCGGATGATAACAAGATATCGGAATCCGTTCTGTTGCGAAGAGCACTTTCTCCGGAGAAGAAAGTAAAAAAGTTTGGCTCGGGAACGGTCAACTTTATGCTAGGAAAGTTCAAACGGTTCGAGGAGGTCACGCCACCCCCACCGGCGGCAAATAAGTTTCAAATATCAGCAGCGGGAAATTTAAAACCGCCAGTAGGGTCGGGTTCTGTAGGGTCAAGAATTGGGCGTAGAATACAATCTGCGTATGCCGGGGCGGCGAGTGATAGCGTGTTGACGTTGTCGCAGAGATCAAATAATTTTGGGAATAAATCCGGAATTCTTGTCAATAATGGAGCGGAAGTTGGACAGGATGGAGGTAATTCTGATATGCAACAACCAGACCCGGAAATAATCCGCTCGGGAGAAGCGGCGCAGGAAAAGAGGCGAAGTTTAAGACCTCAGCCCGTGAATAGTAGAGCACTTTCACCAGAAATGTTAAATCCGGTCATTTCTCGACCACTTTCTCCGGAAATGAATTCTCCAAGTAATAGTCGACCTCTTTCTCCCCCAGAATTTAGACCCGTTAACAATCGACCACTTTCACCCGAAGTAAATTATCCAAGTACTACTCGACCACTTTCACCACCGGAATTTAGACCGGTAAATAATCGACCACTTTCACCCGATCCAAATCACACTTATCGTCCAATTTCACCGGAAATAATGAATAATCGTCCGCTTTCACCGGAAGTGACTACCTCCACAACTCGTCCGCTTTCCCTCTTCGTCACCACCACGATTTACAATACAGATCCAATCTACTCCACCCCGACACTTTCCTCTTCCTCCCAAATTCCTCGGCCGAACGGACTCATCACCACCACGCTTCGTAGTTCATCCCCCATTCCCACCAGCCAGGTCAAAGGTCAATCCCGTGACCTTGGTATTATCTCTCCTGAACCCATCCCACATCCCGAGAGGGAAGTGATCACCTCGAAATCGATGACCTCCCCGCCCCACGTGACGATAAATCGCTCCCCCAGTGACAACCCCATCCTCTCGCCGTCCATGCTGAGTCCAAACTCCGACTCGGTGACCACAACGACCGGTGATTTGGACGATTCGGGGTCAATCTGCTCGAGTTCGGATGTCCGAAATATTTTAGATGAAGAAGAATCCGTTTCAGATCGCATTTTTAGAAAGAGTTTTTACCCCAGATTTCACGAAAAGGGGATAAAAACGAGATCCGTTTCACTCAATGCGGCCACCGCGGCGAGAAAAGGGCTTCACCCGAATCCACAGATAACCAATACCCCACCACCGATAAGCAATGGTCATCATCACCATCATCACCACCATCACCATAGGTCAAACAGTCAAGCCAAGTCAGTCACACCGGGAGGAGGAAAGACAGTAGTGACCCCTTCTACTTCTTCAGCCCCTGCAGCAGAAACTAGCCCCACAATTACAACAACCACAACGAACGGACCTGCGATGAGCACCTTATCGACTGATAATACCACCACCACCCGCGCTCCCTCCCCGCATTCCCTCGTCATCAACAAGTATAATCCAAACCCACTTTTCAAAGAATTAATTACCGACGATTTTAAATCCGATATTGAAAAGAAGACGGAATACTCGAGAAGAGTGACGTCCAAATTGAGCAAATTATTACGGGAGATTGAAACGGATTTGAATACTTGCTCCTTAACGAAGAAAGATGACGACGACGAGGGAGACGACGAAGACGAAATCCTTGGCGGAACTAAAAATATGACGACGAATGGTGTCGCGACAACGAATGTGACGTCTCCTCCGGTCGAAAATGGGACAATGGACGCCAAGAAACCACCCGTAATCGGTGTCGGCCTGAAAGCTTTGGCACCGACGCCCCCAAAAAATCAAAACTTTAAAAAGTATGCGGGCAGTAAAACCACAAATTTGGGAGGTTCGATTAATGCCGTCACGAATACGACGGCGAAAAGGAATTTTTTCAATAGGGAGGGATCTCTCCAGCCGGAAGGAGAGGTCACAACGAAGCCGATGGGATTTGCGCTGCTTAAACCGAGGGCGAGTTCTGTATCGAGACCGATGCTGAACAATACAGGAAATCGAACAGAGTCCGCATCTTGTAATAAGCGAGATAACAGTGACGCGGATAATGACAGAATGGATCGTTAAGTTAAATTAGTTGTAAAAATTGTGTGAATCTCTGAATTTTGATGTCTTTTTCACTGTCTTCTTCTTCCTCTTCTTCGTGTTCTTTCTAAATATGTATCGACTTCATATTTTCAATGTGATAAGTTTGTTTGTATTTACGCAGCAGCAGGACTTGATTTGGTCTTTGGTGAATTTGCATGTTTTTATATACATATCCTGACAAGTTTAAAATTGTAAAGTATGTATGACTCTGAAATCGTGGACATATGTAAATGATAACCTTAATGATACCCCTTTCTTCGTAATTGATAATAAATATGTAAACTATCAGCAGGGATGTTTAAAGATTAAGTTTTATTGAATAAAGGCAATTCACAATTAATACAGAATTTTCAAAGGTTCGGAATAATGACTGACTTTAATTTTTCTGCAGCAGGCTTTATTATGAAATCTGTATCATTTTAATTAACTACTCAGTTAAATGAAACATTAACTAAATAATAAAGCATACAAAAATCACGTTATTAATTGAAAAATGCTCCTGGTACTAATTCTTGCGAAGAAATAGGTAATTAATTAATAATAGTCGTCATCTTCGTCGCCACTGTCATGTGTCTTTTTAGCACGGTAAGAACTCCTACTACTACTTGTGGGAATGGTGGTAGGTTTGGAAGAGGGAGGGAGTGGAGGAAGAGGTGGAAGACGAGAAGGAGACGGCGATCGTGACGCAGACGAGCGAAATCCTGTCGAACGATCTTCTGAAGATGATCCAGAATCCTGGTCCACCATTTCTCTATGGCGGCGTTCTCTCTCCCTGTGAAATGTTAAAGTTTACAATTATAATTTCAAGTGTTTCAAAAATCTCATAAATTAATAAGTTCTGAATTTCAAAAACTATTTATCTATGTACCTTCGTCTGTACTTAATGGAAAGTTCTCGAAGGGTTTCCTCCCTTTCGATCCGTTCCTGGTCTTGTTTCTCTTGACGAATTTTTTCAGCCTCCAAGTCTGCCTTGAGGTGACGATTTAGTGCGGCCTGCATCTTCTTTTTTAGACGCTCCTGTGGTGTCAATTTAACCGCCGCTGGTGATCCCGACTCGCTGTATGACGAGCGGTAGGACGAAGAAGTCTGAAAACAGTGAGAGAACGATTAGTTAAAAGAACTCTGAAATTTCAGAGGACGATAAAAGAAAAATGACTTTGTATTTCTCTAAGTCTTGGTGGATGCATATGCATAGTTTGGAAATGCTTAATTATCTCTGCGTAGTTGGGTGCCAATATAACGTATTCGTTTTCTTATGTATTTCGATAAGATGCAAAAATTCTGACTAAAATGTAAATCCATTTATCTATTTAGATATATCTAGATATGCCTTGACCCTATAAAATTGCATTATGATTTTGGTTTTGGGCAACAAATTGATTCTTACTGACTTTGGATGATGAGTTCGCGTAGGATTTACCCTTTGGATCAGAAGAGCTAGTGCTCCTGAAATGCAAAAAATATACATTTCGTCAAATTATAATCACCATTGATTAAAGTTAAAAATATAAATAAGTCTCACTTTTTATTTCTTTCATCATCCTCCGATCCGGATGAAGAGTAAGAAATTTGATCACTGTCCGACGACTCTGTGGATTCTTTACGACGACCGTAGTACCTCCGCACTGGGGGAGATGGAAGTCTGGGAGGAGCTGGTTCCACGACCGATGCAACAGTGGGATGGTGGTTTGTAGTAGATGACGAAGGCAGAGGTGGTGATGGGGCACGTCCATTTTTATTGTCACTAGTGACCAAAGGTTTTGATGATGTTGTTGAAACGGAAGTTATGTTGCTGGGGCGGTGGCGTTCGATAGATTTTGACTTTCTGGAAAATAAGTATTTATGTATTTTGTCAAATAATATTTGAGAAAAATCATTCACGAACCGTGGCGAACTCGACCTCGAAGATGATGACGAAGTCCTCTTCTTCCTGTCTCGACTTGGTTTTCGGGAGGATCGTGATGATCCGGAGGAAGAAGTTGAATCATCATCACTACTCTCACTGTGTGATCGTCTTCTTTTCTTCTTGTTGTCTAAACTATCACTTCTACGTCTGACACGGTCACGGCTTCTACTTCTTGAGCTGCTTCTTCGCCTACTACTACTCTTTCCATTATTGTTTCGTGATGAACGAGACCTATTTCTGGATCGGGATCGTGATCGAGATGAGCGATGTCGAATTCGAGACCGGGTAGATCGATCTCTACTCCGAGAACGGCTCCTGTTGGAGGAATGGGAAGAAGTTCGTCGGCGTCGACGGCGTCTGCTAAGCAAAAAATGACACACGGTTAGGCAAAATTTTACACATAAATTCTGCAATTGATCAATTGCAAATTTTTCCACACATTTAACAAGATATTCAAGATAATTTAAATTTAATAATTGTTAAAAACTAAGTTCAAATCCCAAAAGTAATTTCGTACCGGTCCACACTCGAATCTGACGATGACGATTTTCGTCTCCGACTTGAGTCACGTTTTCCACGCATAGAAGATGACGCACTGCTATTATATTTCCGTCCCGATCTTTCTCTCGATCTCGACCTTGACCTCATTTTTCTCCTTTCTGGTGAGCGACTCCGACTTCTTGCCCACTTCCGGATCGTACTTGACACCTTTGTGGGTGCAGGGAGTACACGTCGCCCTCCGCGTGGCAGGGGCGGAGATGGCTCTTTCGCTGGGAGAGGGTCGCTCCCTCCGAAGGATGTGATGAACTCGATCTTCTCCGGAGAGCTGGATCTCGAACCAGAAGAGGATCTTTTACCTTCTTCTTCCTCCTCCTCACCAAGTGGGATGTGGGCAGCTGCGTAGGATGGGGGAGAAATGTATCCTTTACGAAGGATTAGCTTATCCTTGTAGGCGCGGCGTTCACGGCGAGCTTTGCGACCCTGGAGGATTAAAAATTGAGCAAAAAATTGAAAAATAAATAGGATACCATATGAAATTTTACAAAGAAAATAAATTGTAAAAGGTGGTGACCGGGCTAGGTATCATATCCGGCCAATTACTTTTTCTCGGAATATTTTTGCGGCATCAGCAAGCATATGTATTGATGTTCAAAAATATTGAGCTCCGTGGCATTCTTCGTCTAGTGATAATCTCTGTTCAAGTATGACCAATTTTAAGCCTAAAATTCACCATATATGAACAAAGATTATTTCCAAACGAAGAATGCCACGGAGCTCATCGACATATATTTTTGAACATCAATGCATATACTTGCTGATGCCGTAGAGAGTTCGTTCATTTATCCTTCCAAAGACAATAGCCGACACCCCAAAATCGAAAATGTCGAATTTGTTGTATCGACCTTCCTAGGCGTAGTTTGTGGCGGGATTTTACAAAATCGACATCATTTTGACGTATGATGACCCCATGACCATTTGAATTTGGTCAAAGGTCGAAAAATTTTCAAGCGGGGGGTCTTGAAATATATCATGTACATTCGAAGTTCGTCGGTGGCGTGTTAATGCGGGGAAAATGAGACGTGGATAGTGTGGGGTGATGTGATACAATGACAGGAAAGTAGCGAAAGACTATGTGGCCTGCCACATAGACAATTCCATGTGTTTTTACCCCTTTGCAACATTTTGGTTGGCAACGGTTTATTATTAGGGAATGGCAATTAGGATAAAGCTGTCATACATAGGTGGAATAACTAATTCAACCGTTGTGCCTTTATCTAAAATAATAATAAACCAAATCATGAGTGCGCTAAGTGCGAAAAGTGGAAGACGGCTTCGTTATGGAAAACCTGATTCGGAACTTTTGTTTTTCTGGTTTGAATCAAACTGACCCTAAAGATGGTGAAGAACCGGATAGGTCAAGATCTCCAATACCACCATTCTTATGAGGTAGTCCAGATTCCAGCCCATCGGTTCTTCAGCAATACTTATCAATACTAATAAAGAGCCATTAAGACCGCTGGCTGGGACGTCCGCAACACAAGTTTCCCCACTAACTTTGAACTTGAGTAGTGTACGCTCCGGTTTATCATTGAGCGTACAAATGATTACTCTCTGCCCCGATGCTTCGTACTCCCTCTCTCACAGTGCAAAATGAACAGAACAGCACTTTAGTTCCACGGACGTAAGGCAGACCGCCGGTGGAGGTCTAGAACCTGTACTGACCTCCACTCTAATATACTAAAATAGACAACAACATCATCCCCATCGTTTACTTATTGGTTACTCATATCATCTTCAGGCAGGAGTGTGGAGTGTTGCTCCTATGTCTAGCTCCAGTTCATCAGTCCTGAGTTCATGGTCAAGTTCTGTGAATACCACGGTCTGAAGTTTCTAGTGGATTGTGTTTACCGGGAGTCTAATAAGTTCCTAACTTATTAGATTATAACTAAGGTTTAGTCCTCTTAAGTGGTTGTATTTCATAGACATCCAACAACGCATTAAGAAATATGAATGGACATGAATCTTACGGTTCACCTGACCTGATGAGAGTGGCTTCACAATTAATCCATCAATGGAGGTAGCAGGTGTACAGATAAAAATAGTAAAATGACAAATGTTTGACATCAGCATTATTTCTCATGCACTTTTGTATGTCCTTGTCGCATGAACTCAAATGTCTCATATTTTATCATATATTTTAATTCCTAGACGAAGTTTATCTTATCTCTAGACTAATTCAATTATCTAATTTACTCAATTTTGTACTTGTTCCAATAAGTTCTTAAATCTTACGAAATCAATGTACATGACTCAAAGTTTGAACCACCTTGACCCTACCTTGACTGTCTACCTATAAAAATCCAATTAACTTTTTCCTCACCGTCCACTTTTCATGTACTGCTACACAGTTACGGTCACTCTATTCTTTGAGTCTCAATATTGCCCCAATTTTAACTACTGTAAAGAAATCAATTTTATGACTAAATAAATACAAACTAAGGGCACATAGTACCGATCTCGTGGACCACCCCTTCTTTCTGGACACCAGTGTCCTCAAGTGCATCTCTGCAATTCGCACGCCAACCAATTCTGCAATCCTCAAATTCACCAATCATTCCATCTCATCACCAAGCCACAACGAAATCAGACCCACACAAACACATCTTCATACACAAACAACAAATACAAAAATAATTTTGATAGAGAAGCTCACAGGAGCGTTTCAACGAATGGCAAGGGACATCAAACTCAAGACATACGATGTATATTCCTGACATCCGTATAATGATGGGATGCCACGCCACTTCGTATATACAGCATCTCATCTTTATTCTCTCTTCTCACGTCCCGCCTTATCTCTTTTGACCGGACATCTCTCCTCGTCTCATCTATTCATGGCCCGAGGCCAAGCGGCGCGTCGACTTCCTCAGAAGTTGACACTCCAGCCGAGCAGCAAGCAAGTCGAGGCATGAACATACGCACAACCCAGTGGAATCTGCTCTTATCAAAATAACTCCCACAATACCCTTTAGTGAAAGGTGTGTCAGGTGTTGGATTTGTCGTTTAACTTGAAGACAAAGTGCAATTCCACGTTCAGCGATCAAACACGCATGGAATTGAAATGGGGTATTTATCCAGAAGCAATGTTTCTCGGTGGCAGTCGAAGCGGGTTATAAACATAGCATTATGAAGATTTCGAGTGTAATTCTATTTGCATTCTATGCCAAGGCTCTTCAGGATAAGAGATGAACATTCCCGCCTAGCTCCAACGCTGTTAGCTCGCCTGGAACTTCTTTTCATAGACCGAATTCAGTAAACTGGATATTGCACTACATCGAGCAATCAACAATAGCTTAAAGCTAGTCCAACAATATTTGAAGATTTTCCCCAGCTCACTTGGATGCAACTGAAGGGCGTCACGTTAGGAGTGTAAGATGTGCCTTGTTTGCTGTCACAACTTGAACCCCCTATACACTCAATGGGATTGCTTAAGGTTAGATACACGGAATCCTACACGACTGAGAGTTATTAGTATAAACTCTACTTCCATCGGGTTAAAAATACATTGATTCGAGATATACTGATTCAATACTAATCCAACGAGAACGAACCAGGCGGTATAGCGGGATATTACTGTACATGAAAAAAGGCAGAGCTGCAAGAAGTTGCAGTCGCATAGCTTCTGTAAGGGTTAATTAGACGTCTTGTCTTTCTTGTCTAAGTTTTATTAACTTGGTTCGGTACCTTGGTTATCGGTATCTCGCATTAACTAGCCGTCGAAAAAAAGCAGTTGGATTTACTGACAGCCGAAAAATTGCCACACAGATGCCCAACTTAATATGCCCGAAGTAACTTCTAATGACTTTCATTGATCAAAGGGCTCTAATTAAAAGTGAATTACTGAGTTGGTGGAATCCAAATAGGCTGTCTGAAACAGCCTGTGCCTGTTCCCATCTTAAAGCAAATGGGATAACATGTAGAGGTGAGGTCACTATTTACACTTGTTCCCATGTGAGCAAAGACTAGGGGGTGCACGTCCCTTGCCCTGGGTGGATTTTAAACCGTCTGAGGCCTCTACCACTAAGTATTGTTTATCACTGGATCATGGCGGAGCATTGACTGCGGACTATTATGATTTTGAAAGCATTTCATTTTGCAAAAACAAACGGTGCAATGGGAAATCGATGGACAACTGTTAGTTTATCTTACCTACGCACGTATAGGCCATTAGAATTTGCAATTGAATTAAAATTACCAAAATATTTAATATGAAATAAATAAGAGTTGACAAAATCAAGCCGTTCGGGTCACATTTAGCCATTGATATAGCCAAACTGACCCTGCCATCGTGTTCTACGTCAAAAAATAGTTTAAACTGATCTTAGAATCATTTAAAAGGCATAATTTGGGTTTTGGCGCGTTTTGAGCGCACCTAGCGCGAGTTGTGCGCTAGCTACAATCAAACTGACCCTGCCATCGTGTTCTACGTCAAAAAATACTTGAAATTGACCTTAGAAACATTAAGAAAGCATAATTTGTGTTTTGGCGCGTTTTGAGCGCTTTGAGCGCCTCTAGCGCGCGCGGTGCGCTAGTTATCGAAAAACTGACCCCTCCATCGTGTTCTACGCTAAAAAACACTATAGAAAAACGAAAAAAAGTAATTGGCCGGAAAACATATCCTTGTACGGTAACCTCCTTTGCATATTAAAGTCAGAACTTACACTCATGGCCTGTTTCTCCTCCTCGTGCAACTTTGCTAACCGAATTTGCTCCTTTTCTTCCAAGTCTTGGTTTAAATAGTTCATGAAATCTCCTCCTGTTAATCCGTACTTGTTGCCGGTGACGTTGAGCTCTGCTTTTTGAGCGTATGTGAGGTCGTCCATGTTGACGAGCAGGTCTAAAAATCAAAAGATGCGTTAAATGAGTTCAATTCATAACGATATTAAATTGGATTAATTTTGCAAAATACCAAAATCGACTTCCTCCTCAGATTCTTCTTCTTCGGCCGGATCTGAGTTATTAGTTGCACTAGTACCACGACCACTAGCCTCACTTTTCTCCTTCACTGCAGCAGACCAAGTATTCCCGGTTGGATTGCTATCTTCGTACGTGTATCCGATAGCCACTTTGGGTGCCACTTTCTCCTTGTCTTTGTGATGATGGTGTCGCCCTGGACCGGTGGGAGTGCCGAATTGTTCCTCGATGTGAATTTGATGGAGAAATTTATCCTCTGAGGCTAAACAGAGCAAAATAACGTGTTAATTTTAGATCAAAATATTTAGAAATTATAAAGTTTTGCTAAAAAATCAGTGAAAAATAGTACAAATTAGAGTAAATATTCAAGTAATGGAATAGAAGCGTACTTTTTGAAGATTCGTTTTGAATGAGGATTCTATATCGTTCGTAATTAAGGATAGAGGCGTTGTCCTCCTTGACTGGGGGACCGTCAGGGTCAGAGTGATGTTCCGGAATGATGTCGAGATGAGCTCGCACGTCGAATCGGTCAATCATGTTGTCCTCGTTTCCTTGCCAGGGGACCCTGCACATTGAGAAGAATAACTCATTATTTTATTACAACCACAAACTACAAGATTATAAGATTTAGTTTCTTACATGCAGCTATCCGCCACAGCGGTGACTTGTGGATCCGCAATAACTTTAAAGCGTCGCCCATGAATTTGCATAAATTGGGCCGGGTCAGCTTTAAACTTTTCATAAAATTCTCGCCTTCGCTCAGCCCGACGCCTATAGTCGACGACCATGGTGCGAATCTTCTTCTCCTGCTTACGTGCCTCGTGCCACATGGTTAAGCTGGTTTATATGGCTTCTTGAAAAATTTCACAAAGTTCTAAAGCACAAGAAATTACATTTTAATAAACTGAAATATTGAAAGTTTCAATTTGAAGCTTATCTTAATAAAACTTACGTTGATTACGATGTCAGCCTTATCATTCTACCCTTGACTATACACTCCCTCTCCTCGCTAAGTACATACAATTAGTCAGTCTAAAGTGTAAATTAAATTAATTTTCAAACTGCTTAAATCCCAAATTCGACATAGAATATTTAATTAAATTCATAATTTCTTGAACACATTCTCACCTAAACCCACAGCCTTATCTTTCTTCTCACTTCAACTTCACGCCCTCTCTTCGTCCTCCTCCGTTTTAAAAAATAAGTCAAAATTTTGCCACATTTTCAAAATTTATAATCCAAAATTACAATTTGATCTGCCCAACTTTCAGTCGGCTTGATTTGATTTATTGCTGGAAGATTTTATACCGCGAAAGAAAGAAATTTGAACCTTTGGGGTACACCGAGACTTGTGAAAACGCGGCTCGTAAATGCCTGAGCCTTTTTCATTCAACGTTCTGCTTTGTGCACCACCGGTTCTCGCTCCATAAATATTAATTTCATAAATTTGATTGACTTTAATTTAACCAATAATTAAATTAAACATTAGGTGTGCATATCGTTAAATAGAGTGAAAGATGGGGACGTTTCACAAGATAAGTGTTAGTGTGGCCACGCTTATCTTACTTTTGACTTTTAGTGGAATTGTTCATGGACACGTGAAGTTGAACGTGCCTCGAGTTCGGCTACCCTATTTTGAAACGATTAGTATAAATTTTACTTTAAAAGTGGACTCGCCAGGATGTTATGCTTGGTAAGAGATAGGATAAGATTTTGGAAATTTGGATAAGTGTTTGTAGATTTATTTATGCTGCGTATAATATGAACGAGTCAAGGCAAGTCAATGGCCGTGGTTGAGTGGTTTCGGCTAAAAAACCGGTTTTGGGCTGGATTTTGGCTAAACTTTTGAGGAACAGATCACTACAATTCTTGTAAAATACTGTATGGAATGGATTGCGTGATTTGCATGATGTGAAATATGACGATGCAAACACTAAAATTATGATAATTAACTTCAATTCAATTTCCCATTCATGAATGAGTAGAATTATGCGAATTACATGATATTTGTGTCCATGATAAAGTTAACCAAGATCAAATAAGAATTTTAAATTAATTAAGTATGTTTTTTTATAATTTCACATCAGGTCCATCAGTAGAACTGATGTCGTAACAATCACCACGTCGTCCTCTTCTCCATCATCGTACAGTGACTACGACGGGACGCAATGTTCCGACTCTGCCGTGATAAGCACCATCCCACGGGTGTCATCTTGCTGTCCCGCGACAGCAATCATCTTTGCAGAGGACGTCGCCACGAAGGAGACGGTTCGTTGCGATGTCATCGTCGACAAGATCTCCGGCATCCAGATTCTCACGACCACGAAGGAGCTTCATCTTGAAGAGGCACCGTCCAAGTTTCACATTCAGGGTGAGCAGAATTTAATTAATAAAATATTAATACTTGCGAAAAGTTCTTTGAATAGAATTTTGAGATTGAAAGAAAAATTAATAATAATTTCAAGACAAAGTTTTTTGATTTATTTTTGAATTATTTAGGATACGGCAGCAAAGATAACGAGCTTAGTACATTGGACGGCGTCCCATTTACCTGGCTCTTAGAGTCTGCAAAGCAGAAAGAGACCTCCACCCTGATCGACCCCCAAAGCATTATGAGATTCATCCCCTTTTCTGAATCCCCTTATAAAGCGACCCCCGGTGTTGCGGCGTTGGAGGCTAAACGCATGCAAGGTGACACTGTCCTTTTGGAAGGAATTAAGACAGGTTCAGCGGAAGTGATTGTTCGAATTAACGATCCTCTCTACAAGGTGAGCTACAAATCATAGGATACAATTTTGCATACAAATATCAAAATTAATTTGAAGAATAGAGCAATTTTGAAGTAGAATTTTCGGGTACAAATGTAATGATATATTTCTAGGGCCTGGAAGCACGCGCTCGGATCATCGTGGTGGCATCTCTACTTCTCGAACCAAGTGAGGCCTACGTCATTCCAGGCACGATCCTCCCTGTTACTTTGTGGCAGATCAAGCACGGGAAAAAGTTTCAAATCCGCCTCCCCTCTTCCGTCTACATCTTTTCGGTGGAGAATGAGGATGCCATCTCGTACGACCGCACGTCCTCCCAACTCACAGCCCTCAACTATGGTGAAGCCAAAATCAATGTCATGGACAAAAACTGGATCGACGAGTTGGAGGAACACTCGGAAGCTTTGACAGCTAAGATTCACGTCACAGAGCCGAAATATTTATCTCTATCCGTGTTTCCGTATAAAAATTGGGCTCTGGTTATGGGGAATGTGTATGAGGTGCAGGTCGACGTGTACAATGTAGAGAATCAGAAAATTTTCGTTGGAGATGTAAGTGCATATATTTTTCTCAAATTTAAAATTGGGCACAATTTCTGCTTTGCTCGTAAAATTTAAATACAATTTTAAAAAATTTCTAATTGCTATTTTATAACTAATATTTCATGTTTTGTTTTTGCCCAGAATTGTTTCGTATCCACAATTTTTGATCCGAAATACTTCCGTGTGGACTACTCTTCACCCAACGGCACGTACCACATCGGTGTCCCCATCAAACTAGGTTCGTCTTACGTGACGGCCGAGCTGCAGAAAATCGTCTTGGCTGACGGAACAGAGAGAAAGTTTAGCCCTCAGCCCAGAGTAAAGACGGAGATGGAAATCTTTCAAAATGTCGCCATCAATCCGAAAGAGACTGTTCTGCCCTGGGATCCGAATGTCATGCCGAAATATGAGCTCCGTTGGAATGTGAGTTGTATATTTTTTCAGAAAATATCAAGATAATTTGATGTTTTGGTCTCAGGCTTCAAATCAAGTTTCTTTCCTTCCTTTAGCCTTCTGGTGGAAACGGAAATTACGTTTGGACCTCGTCTAACACCTCTGTCGTTACTGTCTCGCAATCCGCCACTGGTCGCACCGAGTGGTTCGGCTCCGCCAATGTCACCGTGTCCACGACAGTCAATGTGAACATGAGGAATGTCGCTCGGGTTCATGTCCTTCCTCCAACCAGAATGGAAATCGTAGAGCATATCGTAGAGGCCGAGATCGGAACCGCAATCCAAGTTCCACTCGCATTTTACACAATTCGACCAAATGATCCGAACAGGACAGAGGTTCCTTATTCATCATGTTCCCAACTTCCGATCAGAGTGGAGGTGGAAGACCCCAACTTCGTGTACGATGCCAAAACACATTATCCAAACTTGAAGCCTGCTTGCGTCGTGTTGCCAATTATGGGAAATGCACTTGGTTCTTCCCGAGTCACGGCGATGTATTCCGTTGGGGACAAGTATTTTGAGGACTCTGTGATCGTATCGACTTTTAAACCCTTACAGGTGAGGAATGAATTGAAAAAATTGGTATTTATTTTTTGTGCAGTTTTGGTGTTGTATGTTGAAAAATTATTTTTTTGCGTTTAGACAACCGAACCAGAAAACGACCTCGTCGTATTGGCTGTAGGATCAAGTAAGGAACTTGTTTTTGAGGGAGGTCCGCGTCCACTGCTAGAGAAACATTCCGGGTTTCAGAAATCTTTGGAAATTTTGAACCAAACGGTTGCCTCGCACCGTGCGTTGAAGTCTATGACGGGCTTGAAGGATGACGTCTACATATTTGAAGTAGTCTGTAAAGAAATAGGTGACACAGACGCAGTCTTCCAGATTGGAAATACAAAGGTTTCGGAATACTCGGTACGTAAAATTATAATTTTCAAAGTTTTACTGAATTAAAGAAAATTCTATCACTCAAAGAATGACTAGAAGCGACTAAATGCGAAACTTTTTTTGTTTTTAGCAACCCATCGTGCGGATAAAAGTGGTACAAGTAATTTGTGCCGAACCTGCTCAAATGTATTTCAAGGTGGAGTCCTCGCTCAAATCAAAATGTCCGAATGACGGATCATCTGCACAAGTTGTTCGTGTCGCCATTCCGAATTATGAATCCACCTTGGTGTCTGTCGTCGTCAAGGACAAGGAGGGAAGGAAATTTGACAACGTGACGAGCCTACGAATCAATTGGTTCTCGACACCGGCCCAGATTGGATTCGCCACGCCGTCGTACGCAGTCACTGAACCCATACATACCGCCTTAGGATATGTTGACACCGGGAAAGGTAAGCCTAAACTTTGGAACTAGAATAATATTGTTATTCTTATTTATTTCGTGGACTATAATTGAAAAAATAATTCAAGCAAAGTGTAAAACTTGCATGCATTTATATTGGGGAGATTATTCAAAATTCTAAATATTTATTTCATTTTTTCTGGCAGGACTGCAAAATCTGTTGCCCAACAAATTTTCTGGAAATGTCGAAGTGACCGCTAAAGTCGTGGGGTATCGGAATGAAGTTCTTTCCCACTACAAAATCAAGCCTCGCACTTTGGCTGCCACGACTGAGGATGAATTATACGAATTACAACACTCAATGGATCTGACCCTAGTTTCGGACGTGACCGTGTCGCCTTCGGCGTCCGTATCGTTGTTTAACCATCCATCTAGCACGGTAAGGCGAGGGTGTAGATTTTTCTATTTCGCATTTCATTATTTATGTAGAAATTATTATTTGCATTTCAAAAAGTCACAATTTGCACAGGAAAATGAGATTGGTGATTGGTGATTCGGATGACGACAATGTTTGGAGAGATGAAAGAATAATTTCGCACCCACTCTTTCTTTCTTCCTCAAAACTGTCGATTTTTTATGTTGTCAGAAATATTTACAAAATACTCAAAGAAATACTCATTAGTTAAATAAGTTAGAAATGTTTTGCACTGCTTAATGAGTTTATTCTCAAATAAAAAATGGGGAAAATCACGATTTCATGTTTGATAAAATTTAATCTCTTAAAATTCTGTCTCTTTAAATTTTAAAAATGGATTCAATCGGGTATGTAAACTTGGCTTGTTTTACAATTGGGTTTAATTTTGGATGGGTTAAATTACTACATACATATCAGTTAGCAAGAGCTATTTAGTTCTTTTCACGCTTTAAAATATTGGGAACATATTTTAGAACAACTAAAAACTTTATTAATTCTTCTGCTTACAGGCAACCGTAAAGGTGGCCGACGGTTCCGGCTATTTCGAACTTGACACCCGAGGCTCCAACAAGATCAATGTTACATATAACGAACTGACTAAAACGATGCAGATCCGTCCTCTTCGACAAGGCAAAGCCTCCATCCTCCTCAAAGACCTATGCGTTTCGACCAAGAGAGAAACGGTCGTGGATGTCGAAGTCACTGGAATTGGAAAGATAGAAGTCATCACAGAAAATAAAGTTCCTGTCGACGGGGAGAGAATCTTGACCGTGTCGCTGCTCGACCACGCTGGGAAATCGTTGCCTGGAGAAATCATAAAGTTGGCCCAACTGTCTTTGAAACCGATGGCGCTTGATGTTCTAGATGTGAAACCAATCCTACAAGGAGATCGGGTACCGGCGGCGGCAAAGATTCAGTACAAAATCCTGGGCAAAAGGGTTGGTTGGGCGGAAATCGTGTTCACTGCAGAAGAGGGGACAATTCTCTCGGATGTGAAGAAGATTGACGTTTTTCCTCCGTTGAAGCTAAGCCCCAAAAAAGTTATGATTCTGCCCGGGAATTTGGTCCAAGTGGTTGCCAATGGCGGACCGAGCGATTCGGATATTGTGTTCTCAACTAGTCCAGGTGAGATTAAAAAGATACTTTTAAAAAATAATGAAGTGGAAGGAAGTGTGAATTATATATTGTTAATCAATTTCATATTAATTTTTTAGAGTCTAAAAGTATCGTCTCTGTCGTTTCTGGTGACGGTGTGACTGGCAGCATGAAAGCCTTGGCCCTAGGACAGGCCACCATCACGGGTCGAGCAGTAGACCCCGCGACACGAAAAGCATACTCGGAAGACACCGTTGAAGTGAAGGTCGTTCCATTGACAGGACTCAAGGTCGTGGCGCCGCTCACCTATCTCTACGAAGATGAAAAGATGCCCGTCTGGTTTAAAGGGATCTCAGGAAGAAATGAAATTTTGCCAGACCTGCTCGTCTCTGCTGCCCCATCCCTAACGAGTGTCGAGTGGATCGTGAGCAGCGGCGATAACGCGGAGATTATAGAAGTTTTTGAGGTAATTTTGGGGAAATTTTGAGTTTTGGTTCGATTTTTAAGATAATTTATAAAATGCATTTTGATTTATAGCCTTCTATGAGTTCAGTCTGGATCGGAAAAGACATTCGAGTACAACTACATGCTCTCAAGGCGGGCAATATCACTCTTCAAGCTGTCGGATATTACAATGGGAATTACATCTTCTCGCAAAAGCTTGAGATTGATGTGAGTTTTAAAATAATGGAAACTTGGCGAGAAATTTTTATGCTTAAATATATATTTTTTTTAGATCCGAATATATCCCTACGGTTCATCTTCCGAGTCGGGAAACAATTTAAATTTATGGGTACTCTTCAGGACGGCCATGACTGGTGCATGGTATTGGTTTTTCTTGCCAGCTATAATAATGTCTAGCGTTCTGCTGGGATCAATTGGTACTAGTTTTACACAATTATTTACTTTTGCTTTCTATTTAATCTTGTGAATTTTGTATTTTGAAAGTATATTTTACCTTCGCAGCTTATAACATGTACATTTATGGAGATGGTGGGAATCGAAACACCAAAGTGGACACGTCCCTCTTCATAAGTAGCCCAGTTTTCTCCTCACCTACGAGATATACTCCCAGTCCGCAGTCGTCGTCGCCCAATCAGTCGCAGTCATACACGCCTACGAGGAGTTCGACATGTGGAGGAGGATGTGAGAATAATTAATTAAAATAATTAACTACTTCGGAAGGAAAATGAATTATTTAGCAATGATTTATATATGTTTCAGCAACAAGTACTGGATTCTCGCCAAATCATAGGAGATTATTTTCTGCAGATGATAGCAGAATGTAGTGCAGGGAGGAAAATTATTGTTATAAGTGAACTTCGTAAAAAATATTAATATTTTTTACCAAACGAAAACCTAGACTGGATTTATGACGATTAATTTAAGAACTGCCAAACTGCTTACTTGTTACCATTCATTTACTTGAATCGTTGTTATAAGTTAGACTGTCAAGTACTTTTTGAAACTCAATTATTGTTATTTATTTACATACTTTATAATCATTTTTTGTTGTATTTTTAGTAATTATTTTCTTTTGTGAAATATGTCTTACTATTAGTTTTACTTTAATTAATTGTAAGGAGATTTTTTGTCAAGGTATTACTTATGCATTTCTAAATTAAGAGTATTTATTTATGGAGGAAGATACCTGTTATGGACCTTCCTCGTTGTGTGATATCTTCTCAAGTCGGCTCCTCAACTCAACGGTTAATTAAGTGAAATAGGTAATTTTGTGTAATTAATTAAGATCTAAGATGATACTTAAAATGAAAACGATCTGTGACGAGCAATAAAATTGGAAGAAATGACTGATAAAATTTCAGATTTACTTTCTTACATAAATTTTATTACTGATTGATCAACATGCACACATAGGTATTAGTAATTTGTAAATGTATATCTGATTGATTGATGATATAGCTTGGTTTTGTGTTTGTATTAATTAATTGTGACAATCATAACATTTATAAACACGAAAAAGGTTAACTTGATGATTTGCATTTCTTAACAGGTTTCTGCGAAGTAGTACCTTTACAGTTCAATAACAGCTTTTGCATTGCATTTTATGGCATATTGTTTTAATTTAATTGCATAATTAATTCACTGGGATTTAAATATTAATTTAAATGCTCGCCTAATCTTTCACCTTTTAATAAGATAACAAATCGTTACAAAAGTTTTATCTTAAAGACAACAGAACAAAATTATTCAGTACATAGATAGTTTTGGTCCCTGAAAAATGGGGAGGATTTATGAAATCGAAAAAATATATTATAATTTAAACAAAAATATTATTAGTGAAAAAATTATATATTCAGGATCTGGTTTCGGTGGGTGTGTGGTATGGTATATTTAATAGTTTGCGTTATAAATAGTGCAAATATTAAAGAAGTCGAAGGAGGAAGGTAAAAATTTAATTATTACATTAATTAATTGTCTAATTATTATTGACAGTTTAATAGGGAAGAAAGTTCAAACGATAATAATTACAAAATGACTCATAAATTATACTTAAATGGATCACATGAAATGAAGGAAATGCATAATTAATTAATTGTGCAAATAAATTAACACTTTAATACTGAAATTATATAGGAATATGCAAACAAATACTTAATGATGATTGGAATCGTTGAGAATTATATACGAAATTAAATTTTCAAAATGGATTTTCGAAATTCATGCCGAATAAATTAACACTGGTTGAAATTACTTGAAATTCAACATTTTGATCTTCACATTCGTCAAATTTCATACATCTTTTTAGACTAAGTGTATCGAAAACATTACTAAATTCGTCTTTGAGTCGTTTTCTTTTACCATAAATTATTCATAAATTATTTAATTATTTATGGTGTGAAATTGTAAATTATGTTATTTTCTCTTGCTCCTTATCTCCTATTACTAGACAGATATAAAGAAGGTGAATAGTTTTCATGTGTATAAAAAGTACAGGAGAATAAGATAAGAATTTCAGGTTTTTCCCAAAAATTGTGGTGGTTGAGTTTGCTTTTCTGTATAACGATGATGATGATTTGTATGTATAGTGATTAATTGATTGATTATCGATAATATCGATCCAGGACAATAATGAGACTTCTTTTTTTGTCTTGGATCTTAGAGATTGATTTCCATTATCTAGGACAAAATGGTGAGACGAACGTTCCCCCTTTTCACACTTTTTAGCAGCGAGACCGCCTCATGATGCGTCAGACCTTCGCAAGGGATGGAATTTACGGCGATTATTTGATCCCCACGCTTCAACCCGGCCACAAGTCCGGCCCCTTTGGAGAATACGGTCTTAACATAAATCGGGAGATTGCCGTGTGGTGATCCTGCAATTAATCATTGATTAATTAGTCATTAATCGTTGGTTAATTATCGATTAATTGATTTATTATCTACCATAGCCTCCCACGATTGAGAATCCCAGTCCGTCCTGGCCTCTGATGAGGGTGATATTCTTGACCTGTGGCGGACTTCCGGTTAGACTGGGAGGGTTGGAGGACGTGGTGGATGAGGTTGACGATGTGGCGCTATTATTACTGCTTCTCGTCGTTGTGGAGGCGGTGGTCGTACCGTTACCGTTACTTTTATTATTATTATTTTTGCTGCCATTCGTGGTCGTGGTCGTAGTGGTGCTTGTCGTATCAATTATTATTTCGGGTTCAATCTCCTCCTCAGTGTCGAATGGGTCGTCGTCTTCGTCCACCATTTGTCTGGAATAGATTGAATTAGTTTGAGATTAAATTGTGTATGGTTAAATTTTTTCTAAGATTGTGAGATTCGTTACCGTATTTATTTGTATTTTGGTTAAAAGCTGTGTTTTTTAGAAAACCCGTCCCCAAAAGGTGGATAGAGTAGATGGAAGTGGAAGTAGAGAGAGAAATAAGATGAGAGATTTAGAGTAGAGGGTGCATCATTTTTTTGGAGAGTGGGATAATTTTTTTTCAACTTACTTATTGTCCGAAGTGGGAGTGGCAGGTACCGTGACCGGCGTTGAGGCGGCCGATCTGCGCGACGCGGCAGCTTTTAAACGCCCAATTTTCATTCGGATCGGTCCTATCGCGGTTTTGAGGATGGATGCGGCCTCCTCCTGCGAAATCAAATTGGAAATAAAAAGTTTAAAATAGTGTCTCAAAATGCCAGAAAAAACAGGCATAAAAGTGATGTTCGTGTATACAGACATTTTTTTTACAGAATTTTATATTTGTTGAAACATTTAATAGAAATTTGGAAATATAAGTTATATAATAAGGTCTCAATTAATTGACAAATTTTCAGAAAAAAATTATCGTAATTTAATTATGATCATTATTCTTCAAAATGATTACTTTGATTGGCCAGAAATGTCCTCTTGAATTTGCTAAGAAAATTAGTTTGTCATGAACTTGTACCTGTGTCGCATTTTTGAGATCTTTTCCATCCACTGTGATGATCATGTCGCCCTTCATGAGACCGCCATGTAGTTCCGCAATGCCACCGGGGACGACGTCTGATATGAAGACGCCGGAACCGTTCTTTCTCCCCACGATGGAGAGACCGAGGCCTTTTCCCGATTTTTTCACCAGTTCGACATCAATCAGGTCGTACATGTCGTCCTCCCTGGTAGCAGATTCGTCTCGATAGACCACCATCCGCACTTTATTCGGCGTTTGGCGCAAGGCAGCTAAGGCTTTGGAGTGGGAAATGTTTTGGAAATCTTCATGATTTACGGAAAGGAGTTGATCGCCTGGTTTTAGTCGGCCATCTTTCGATGCGGCTCCGTCAGCGTAAACTTCGTGGATAATGATGGAGCCCTGAAGAAAGAAAACACAAATATGGTTAGGGTAAAATTTGCGAATTTTCGAACAATGGATTTGTGAAAAATTATTTTTAAAAAATTTTATGAATCTGTTGGAAAATTGTCCCAAAAATGTTGAAATATATGAACTAAGTTTTTCAAATTTTGATAGAAATCTAAAACTTGAAGAAAATTATCTAAAACTACAAATTGCTTTAAAATTTAAACAAATCAGTAAACCAAATATTATTTACAAACAAAATCATGTACAGTTTCTAGAAATTCTACACAGTCTAGCTTCAAAAGTTTTTGAAAATTTTTTCATGTTTCTTAAAAATGCGAATAAAACTGCTAAAATTTTCCTCAAAACAACTCAATTTCTCCAAACCCTTACCAGAAGCGTATCACTCCCACCCACGATACTCAATCCTAACCCCATCTTATCCTTATTGATTTCAATTGTGGTTTCCTTGCCGGGATTGATCGGACACGAAATTGGGTCGAGGAGCGGATCCGTCACCGGCTTGCCGTGGACATGCAGCGTCATTTTGTGCGAGGCCGACGGTGGGATGGGTGACGGTCTGGGCGACGGTGTCGCCGGTTTCGTGGAAACGGAGGGCGTCGGCGATGTCGAAACGGATGGCGTGGTCGTCGTGGGGGCCAGGGCCGTGTGAGAATTTGAGGGCGACAACTGTTTCGGGGAGACGGGTGAGATTCCATGAGCCGCCAATTTCGACACTGCGGCGGATGACGAGGAGCAAGAAGAGGACGTTGGCGACACGATGGTCACCATCGGTGGTTGAGAGGACGTCACAGGGGTCGCAACCGGCGACGTGACGGAGATTTTGGTTCGATGAGATATCGCGGAAGACACGGACGAGATGAGTTTTGAGGGCGACGGAATTTTTGAAGGTTTCGGGGGAAGTTCTACAAAGTAAGGAGATTGAAGTAATATAATTGGATACATTTTTAGCATAAATTGTGCAACATATTTTGCCAAGTTCGAAATATATGTAGGTACAACGTTTAACATGGGAAATGAAAATTTAGAAAACTGCAAAACAACCAATAATTCCAAAACTTATACACATTTAATTTATTAGCAATTTAGAAACTTGGGAATTCCATCCCGATTGCTTCACAATTTCAGAAATATATGCAATCCAAACAAGAATTTCTTCATTATTCCCAAACGAAGTAAACCAAATAAAAGTTGTGCAAATAATGAAATGAGATTCACTACTACCTTCCTCCACCCGAGAAAACTTCTACGTAGGTACAATTTAAATTGGGCAACCGACAAGAAAAATATTGCAAAATTCTGTCCAATTTAGCAAGATTAGCAAACATATTACTCTGGATGTTGCGAAAGATTTCAAATTAGGATGGATTTACGTAACATCCATCCAAAACTTACTGGGTTTGTCGACATCTTTGCCACCCTTGCCGTCGACGTCTTTATCTTTTCCGCTGTCGTGGCCGACGATGGCTTGGAGGAGGCCGGGCAGGGACGTTTTCCGAACCTCTTTCACCGTCACGACGGGCAGCAAAGCCTGTTCCTCGTCCTTCCCCTTCGACGCGTTGCACACGACGAGGATGACATTCCCCTCGGTTTTCTTCAACGTGTTGGCAGCCTGAAAAATTGTATGGGGTGGAAATTAGTTTTTCATAAAATGGCTAAATATTCCCGATTTGAGAGAATTTTTACTTTTTTCATGAAATTATATATGCCATCAAATTGCCAAGTATCTAAATATATGAAAACTGGGGTAAAGCACATTGTAAATATGAGATTTTAGTTTATTGAAGTGTTAACGAATTTTATTACAAAAGAATTTATTAATTGTAATTCTGAAATTGCATGCGATCATTAATTGATTCTCTCAATGTACACCAATTTCTCTCACGTATCCACAGTCAGGATTGCCCACGGTTTCATCTATAAGTAAGTTTAGTACATAATGATCCTAAAATTGATTTCCGGCGTTTAGACTGAGCAACAAAAAAGTTATTTTTTATCCACATTTTTTCCAACTTTTCGACAAGTTCTATATTAAACTAGAACCCATAATAAAATACTTTGTACTGCCCACTCAACTCTTTAAAAATCTCCAGTACCTTCTTCGCCCAGTCCAGAAAGTGAAAGACTTTTTGGAGTGACAATAAAATGAAAGTGGAGAAAGTAAAGTAGATAAAAGTATATAAAATCTACAGACTTGATGCAGCCCTAGCCACTCAATTTCTTTGCTTCTTTTTTAATTTCTAGTGTGTACCACCCTCTTCAGACTTCTTGACCAATATTTCATAAAAAGTGACGTCTTTATTGTCTACGGTAAGTTAGTTGATCGTGATGTTACTATAAATATATTCCCAAAATTAAACCTGTCTGCTCCGAATACAATGACCTCGCCCGATGACCCTTATGACCTCCAAGGGCCAACCATTTTACCTCATTTTTCACATGACAAACCTACAAGTATCGTCACAGCCAGACGGGCATGATGACGGTTACATAAGTCGTGGATCGGGCTAAAAATGAAATAAAAGTAAAGCTCGAGCGAGATGAGAAATAATGTCGTTTTTACTCTCCTACGGCGGACAACCTCGGAGCGATAAGTGAGTCGGGCGGTGGTGGTGGAGAAAGCAGTTTCAGATTCTCAATTCCCACCAGAACCGTATAACAAGTTGGTTGGATGAGGAGAGAGAAAGCGAATGAACGAGTCTGTTATCCTGTCTGGTATCCTCGTGAAGGGACACTTACATCCTTCTCTCACCGACACGCACGATATTGGTTTCTCCACCGAGAGGAAATCTTTGTCTGGATTTTAGTTTGTGTAGGGAACAACAAAAAAGAACAGTGTAGATGGAAGAAAGTGTGGTTCTCAATTTTGTGGTATTTGATCCTCAGAGCATGTAGTCTAAAATGGTAGTGTTTCAAACGTAATGAAATCAGGAGTCAGGAGGAAGTTTGCAAAAAGTGTGGAGCAAAAAGAGGCGAACAAATCAGACACGATTTGTTTGTAGATTGTGGAGGAAGAATTTTTGTACTCGTCTTCAACATTATTTTTAATTCTGTGAAGAATAAATTGCCCATTTTGATTGAAAGCGAATAATTTAGTCGATGTGTCACAAAAAACTAATAAAATGTAAGTTATTAAAAAAGTCGATTGAATTAAAGCTGTGAAAGTTGTGCTCTTTGTGCAGGAAAATATTCATTAAAAAATGCATCGAGTCTGATTTTTAGGCAGTCTTCTAGGACGAAAATGAGCCCGATTTGTTGAAAATGATACAATTTCGTCCACCTTTTTATCCCGTATTTTCCGCAAATTGAATTCCCGAAATAGCGAAACCCTACCTATCCCCATTACTATGATCCCTTCTCTTTTCTCATCATGGTGATCATCATCCAGATAATAATGTCGAGTTGAGAAGAGCTTTCCCGTCTCGTGTGTCGAGATATATGTGTACATGTTTTTGAAGGAGGGGAGAAAAAGAGGAGAAAGAAGAACACGCTGAAAACTTAACTTTAGCAATTTCCTTAAATTATGGCGAGAAGAAAACCAAGGTGAAAGTTGGGCAAGATGTGAAGACCAAGTTTGACTTGAGAGCAGAAAAGTCTTGTGATGATCAAAAGTGTTACAAGTTTTACTTTCGCTCGTCCCGTTCGTTAGTTAAAAATAAAATGTAGCAGACTTCGTCGTCACACAAAGATAAATACGTGAAATGAGATGTGCTACTCTATTTTTTAGCGTAATTTCTTATTCATTCGTATATTTTTACTGGGGTGAAAACCATATTTTTTGCGCAATTTTTGTGTGCAATTTTTTGTGAAATTTTTAATTTTTATATAAAATAAAATAAAGCAGTCATCGTCGTCCTACACAAAAATACGTGAAATGTGTTACTCTATTTTTTAAATTATTATTTTTTAAATAGCATAATGTCCTCCTCATTTGTACATTTCTGGAGTGAAAACTACGTTTTTTGCGTAATAGTTCACTAAATATTGCCTAAAATGATCTCTTTCTGCGTAATTATATGCATAATGAAAAATCATTACCCTCCCTTCTGTAACAAAGCCGCGTTGCCAAAGGGTTAATGATGCACACGCAGTAACGTAACGTAACAATTTTATTACCATCTTGTTTTCACTGTAGAAAGAGAAATTATCTCATTTTCTCTGTAACAACTGGCTCATTTATTATTCCAAAATTTGCATAATTTGTGTCCCGTGTGTGACTCGGAGAAATGAAACCCTATAGCATTGTCCTTTACTACTATTTGTGTCTCTCTGTAACCGTTTTATGACGCAAGTGACATGTCATCCCGCACCACGATTAGTCCAACTTTATCATATTATTAGTACACGAGCAGAATGAAATAATATTGTTCTATATTTACTTTCCCTCAAATTATACACAACTCGGATCCGGATACTAATACCCGGGTATCAGGGCAACCTTGCCCTTAACCGAGAATCTATGTACCAAGGTAAATCATATTTACAACTTGCACTTAATACTTGACGGGATAATAACACTCGTAAAATAAGACCTCCATTCAGACTACCCGGGTTTTATGGCAGATCCGATAATGATAAGCTTAACTAATATATCTATAAGATAAGTACATAAATAGATGAAATAAAAGTCGATATTTGTACCCAAAAAAATACTCGATGCTAAATTCGATTCACTTTTTAGCCATTTATTTCCAGAAAACATGAGTAAGTGAAAAATGTTGACAGGTTCTAGTGCAGTGGATGTTCGTACATCTGTAAGTACCGTAAAAAAGGGGAGACTTTCTCTCTTGAGGAGAATCATCAATCAAAATCATATCTTATTTCTGCTCAGAGAAAGAAATATTTAGATGGATGGATGGAGACGAGAGGGAAGAAGAAGATGATGATTTAGACGTTGCTATCTTATCTTGAAAAATAAATTGGCTAACTTTTTTCGAAAGTAATTTCATTTCCTTTCATTTGATTTCACTGTTTCGTTTCGTAATAATATTCTAGATATTGGTTAGGAAAAAGAAGTGGGTGGGAGATGATTTCGCCAAAATTTTGCAACTTGTGGAGAAAGAAAGAAGGTTTAGGATAAGAAAAATTGTATGAAATCGACGTTACAAAGGAAGCAGGGTAGAAATATATATTTTTGGATAAAATGAGAATTTTCATAATTTTGAGTAGTTTAAAAGTCAAAACCTAAGTTAAGAATGAGCTAATACGCAACAATCAAAATCAGGTAAATTGGTTTGTAAACTATGAATTTAAAATTATACCCAAATATTTTATATTCCTGAAAAATTTTAAATTTTACGGCAAATATGAAATTTGAAAATGGGAACTTACATGTTCATAATCAGAGCCCACCATGTCTTCCGAATTGACCGCAAGGATCATGTCGCCCACGAAGAGGCCGGCCTGTTCGGCAGGCGAACCATCCTGGATGTCCGAGATGAAAATCCCTTGACCCAATTCGGCGTGACGACCCTCCATGATCATCACACCCAGACCAGTCCCACTCTGAAAATAGGATACGCATAATTTACAAATTTTTAGGGGTGAAATTTAGGAAATTGTTGACAAATTTTAACCCATTTTGTCATGATGGTGTACAACCTAATCGTGATGACAAGCTTTACATATGTGTAGACTGGACTTGTTTATGGGATGTATGTAAAGTAAGGTTTTTTGTCTCTTTGTGTGGAAAATACTAGCCTTTCACGCTTTTCTGGTGAGCTGGACCATTTCATAAAACTTTATTTTGCTCCCAAGTAAGTAAATAAATGTCGGGGTGGTCTTGTTTTTCGGGGAATCATGTCATCATGACTATCTGACTAATTGAGTGAAGTGGATGTTTTCATGGCATGCAAGACTTTTAGTTTTTGGACGACTGGACTTGTCTTCAATTATGCATGAGAAAGCTTCATTTAATTTCTGGACATGTTTTTGAAGAGCTTTTGTTGAGAGAGGGAGAGATTAAATAAACTTTTAGCAAAGTGAGTTTCACTTTGTGAGACTGCAGGGAGGGATTCTGTACGAGTTCAGGTTTCAGTTAGATTTAGGAACTTTTCGAAATAAAATATTTCCGTAAATAACCCACCTCAAGTAGAGATCTAAATTGATTATTGAAAACAGATATGAAATAAAATATGCAATTGTCGTAAAACTCCCTCAATTTTTTTCCGCAATATAAAAATTTGCAAAATTTGCGTGTAAGCATATGAAAACATTCTTTCGACAAAAATGATCATACTACAATCCAAATTTTGTCAGTATCATTAATAAATATTTCTCCTAAAAAATTATCACCACCAAATTTCCCCAAAATTTTCCAGAAACTTAAAGCCAAAAAATTACTCACCTTTTTCAACGTAACGACCCTCAATCCTTTATAACTCGCATATTTCTCCTCAGGACTCTGCAGCGATTCCACCGAATTGCAAAAACAGCACAATTTATTAGTATTACTTCTTCTTCTCCCCCCACTCCCACTTCCCCCACTTCCTCCTCCTCCGCCATTATTATTAGCACTCCTCCCCCTCCAAAAACGGCTCCGATTCCGCCAAGATTTCAACGACCCGCCGCCCGTTGACGAAGACAAGGACAAGGACGTCGATTTAGTGACAACAATTTTAACCTTGTCCTCCCTCGTCAATTGCTCCGTCTCTGTCACTTTTTTCTCATCAACACCGCCGCCCCCACTGTTCGAAGCCCTCCAAAACCCGCAAAATGACACCCTCTTTCTGAAACTAGTTCTCAGCCTGCGGTACAAATCGCGCCCACCACGACCACACCCATTGCACGGGAGGAAGCAGCAGAAACAAATGCACTGGGCGAGGATTCGGGGCATAGCCTGATTTCAGGGGAGGAGGATCGATATTTATGTATGTCGTTCTGCTGTATATATTTTGTTGGTTAGAGAGACAGAGGAGGATGATAATGTGCTTTGTGTGATTATGATAATGTCCGGCTAGTGTGGGTTTGTGTCGCTTATCTGGCAGAGAGAGAGATGAGATTAGTTCTTGTTTAATAATGACGAGACAGAGTGGAATGGGGGAATTCACGTCAAAGTTGGTTAATGAAGGAGAAATTTTGGTATTGCGAAATTTATTTTGCGAAATGAGTAGGAAATAGATTTTTGTGATTTTTTAAGCCCGAGTCAGGGCTAATGTGCCTACCGTGTAAGTCTGTCCGATTTGCGATAACTCATTTTGAACTTGTCCTATGAAATTTTTCACTCAAATGAAGAGTCTCAAAGTCGGTTTAAAAAATTTTGAAATCTAAATAGTTCAAAATAAATAATTAGATTTTGTACTAACTTTGGAATAGATTTGTAGTTTTAGAAATTCAACTTCAGTATGAAATTTTTTTATCAACAAGATTATAAAAATGGCTAAAAGATTGTTTTTTAATGATGGACTTTTATGTTGTAACAGGCCCACAAATTTGATGAAAAGTGCATACTAAATATTTTTCAAATGATAAATTGCAACGCCGACTTGCAATTTTGAAGGATTATTTGTTACCGCAGACCAAATCAGATCGCACGTTCTGGTTGGTGGGGTACTTAGATTACCAAAATTTTGATAAGTAGTAAAATAAATTTGAAAATCTGTGATTTTTTTTGCTCCCACCTTTGACGTGAATCCCCCCAATAAAATTTCCACACTGCAGCACCAGCGTGGATGACCTTTATTCCGACTCGTAGTTGTCAACTACTCTGGTTTTGTGAACCGATTAGTGAAATGAGACGAGATTACGTGAACGTAAACATGTCCCGAATTGACATGTGTTTATATTATATAACACAATTTACATCATCCAAGATGAATGGGATTTGAATATGAAATTAGTTTAAGTTTAGAAATTTAATACGAATAATGGACCAGTTATGCAACAAATATTTAGGCAATTTTCCTCTCTCCCCTAACTCCACATCTAGATTTGGGATTACTTCGTCAACCAAACGTCCCTCTAACAAATCCCAGTTAAGCACTTATCCAATCAAAATACGCCTGGACCACAATTTTGAGACAGACCTTGCCCCCAGATTTTGCAATGTTGCAAAAATAATTTCGCAAATGCTTTCCTCCACACGAGTTTAAAACGCCGAATATGCTCCTGCAAAACGCGAAATATTTCGCAAAAATAATACGCCGAGTGCCGACGACGACGACGATCGTTTAACAACTGAGAGCTCAAATTGGTGGAGGAGGAGGCACACATAATTGGCAGAGGGAGCAATTAATTTTAGTATAATTCATCACACAACAATACTTAATTCTCATTATAAAAGTACTGACCTCGCGTTGCATTAGAGATACGGGAAATTGCACGATTGGCTTCACCGACAAGTCGTTTAAACCATCTGACTTTCTGCAAAGGTAAAAAAGCCAGACCAAACCACAAAAAGTTATTAAAAGGTTGTACACACAGCCATTTCATTCAATTATTTATGCTCATACATTACATACAACATAATCATAATAATAAGTCATAAAGTGCTGGAGTTTAGAGTCTTATGTACAAGCACACAAAAGAGAACAATACAATGCACACAAGTGGTCGGGGCATGTATGTATGTGCACAGGTGAACAGGTAATATTCGGTGCCGTGTTTTTTAATGCTTCCATGTAGTAGTTAAAGAGCATTTTATTTCATCTGAGAACAGGACAGGTTAAAATTTTCCGATGGAATCAGTGGCCTCGGAAGCGTGGGGACAGAGGAACAATGTCCTCATCATCTGCCCATGTTACATAAACCCCTGCCATCCCTATCCTGCAATATTAATGTCCCCACGGCTTCCGCGGGGACTGAATGGAATGGAATATTGTAGAGAATAAGTAGGATAATCTCTGTAAGAAAATATGCACACATGATGCCTCAGCTCTCGACTTGCTGTCAGTCGGGGTCGTGATATTATTTATGATTAAGGTTTTATTACTGCGTAGGATTTTATATACGTGTACGAAGAAGGGGGACAATCTTGCAGATCGGGGTGGCTTTTGAGCTTGTACATAAGACATGGAATATTCAGCCTGTAGTAAGTTAAGGAGTTGTACGGGTACATGTATGTAGTTTTCCCTATTGTCTTGCATTTTCCCCGTGTTGTTCGACACAATTATGTCATTAAGGATGGATGATTGGAGGAGAATTGCGAATTGCTTCCCTTTTTATAGGACATAGTAAAAGTGGACGCGTTTTACTTTATGCGGATACATAAAACGGACGGGAATGAAAATGCGGCCGCATGTCGGCACGCGATAAAAAGAGAAGCAATTTCCTTTCCTTTTTTGAGTGGGAGGATTATATTTTGAGAAATATTGGTATTTTTTTAGAGAGGGATCTAATGTTTCTGAGAATGTTTTTTTTGTATTAAGCGTCTAAATTATTCGGGTAAAAAGTTGTCCCGTTAAAAAATTTCGTGTAAAACTTTAAGGTAAATTCGAGGTAAGTACGGTTTCTGTTTTTTTGCCAATTACTGATTTGTTAATAATATTTATTAATGGAATTTTCACGCTGACATTAAACACGCAAGTTATGTTTTTTAACCCTCCCGAGAAATGCATGATCGTTATGAAATTCCCGATTTTCCAGGATTTTTATCCTTGATTGTGTTTCGCGAATCGAACATATTTTTTTCAAAGTTTTCTTTTTCTCTGCGTATTTGATTCTGTTTTTCTGAGCAGAAATAAATAAAAATACGAAGAATAACTAACCAATTTATTCTCTGTGTGAGACATGAGTTGATTTACTGTGTGACTTTGACAAGAGGAAAAAAAAAAATAAATAAATAAAGCTACTTTGTCGTCACAATGGCATCTTTTCCCTACTTTTTGGCACAATTGTATATATAGAATTGATCGAATTTGATATTTACGACCACGACACACTTGAATCAATAACTATTCGATTTGCAGAGCATTTTATGTGTTTTTTGCATGCATGTAAATGAAACATGGAGAAACGAACCTGATGGCAATAATTTTGACGTGATTATGTGGCAATGATTTGATCATGGCGGACGCGTTGAGGTGACATCGTCCGTATAACACGATTCCGTTGACTTCAAGGATTTCGTCGCCAACTTCGAGCTGTCGGGCGCGATGGGCGGCACCCGCGGGGTTTATGCCGCAGATGTAGGTTGCTAAAGGAAAGATTAAGATAATTAGTTAGAATAATTAGCTAAATTAGTTAATTAGTAAAATGGAAAGTAAATACAGAGATTAGAAAAATAATTGCTAATCCTTTCACAGAAACTTAAAATTAGGAAATTTTGACTTGTATTTTAAGGGAAAATTAGCAAAATTGAAATTATGAATGGGAATTAGAAGAGAAATTAGTTGTGATGACTCACCCATCTTCATCCTATCACGATGTCCGGCCAAACTAAGATAAGCACAAAACATTGAAATTTATGAAAATCTAAAAATATTGAACAATATTTCCGAAACACACCTGATGCCCAAGCCGACGTCACTACGTTCCAAGTCGGCAATGATAATTCTCCCCCCGCGACTAACTTCGCCCCAACGTTTCTCAACTTTTTCTAGAAATTTATAAAATTAGAAGAAAGTTAAACTTTTACTTTGTTGAAAAATGTAGTGCAGTTTTTCATGACATGTCAACTTTTTATGGGATTAGATTTTCGGAAAGTGCATTCTAGAAAATTGTGTTTTGATGAAAGATGTGAGATTTTTATAGAGTAAAGTTACAAAATATTTGCACTTTGTAGAGATTTTTGTTGCAAAGTTTGTACATTTTCTAGAACCGTTAAGAATTTGGAGAATGATTTATCGTAATAGTTTTGCCAGGCAAGATAAGACAAGAATGGATTTTAAAACGATTTTATAGAGTTTTTGCAGTCAGTTTTTAAGCCTGCTCAACGCGAAAAAGATATGCTTTTTAAATGTTAATTTGAATTTTTTTTAAAGTGTATTAAAATAAGTGAAAATCGAGTATCCTAATATTTCTGAATTGTACTGTAATTTCTGAAGTTTGATTTCTTGAAATACCGATAGTTTTGCAAATGATTGTTAAATTTATACATTTTAATTATGCGGTGTTATTCAAAACTTGAAAATTCGCACGTGATGCGTCATACAAACGCCAAACATTTTCTAAAAATCGTGTGCAAATATTGTAAACTATTTACAAGGTATCATCAAGCCACGAATGTGTGTACTAAAATAAATACTATCTATTACTAAATACAATTGTAGTACACGGTGATTTATGCAGAATTTTAGTGAGATTTACTTATAATTACACACAGTTTAAAAAATGGTTGACTTTAGGATAGCATTTTGACGAATCGTTGCTAATAAAAAAAAATATCGCCTGTTTCTTTTCAACGCCGATTAATGTTTAAATCTTAAATTCCAATACTTAAACTTGATGAAGATCATCCCATCTTCACTTTTAAAAGTCATAAATAACACTTACTCGTCGTATAACCGAATTCATCTTCTGTCTCGGAATCTGAGACATCTCCACTCTTGGACCGTTTCACATTTCCAGCACTTGCACGGTCAATCTGCCATGACATAAAATTTAAAAAAATTAACCTCAATAAGCTAATTATCAACGTATTTATAAAAAATATTATCCACCTCAATTCCCCGTTTGGTTCTCGTCTTCCCCTGTAACTGTCTCCCGTCCCCGAGCTCGTCCTCTTCCTCGGAAGAGTGGTCACTCTCCTGGTCAGATTCAGATTTTTGTTTTGGAACTGAACTTTCCACACTTGGTTCGACACTTGGCTGCATTTCGGTTTGTTGCTGTTGTTGTTCTTTGTTGTTCTGCTTTTTGTCCTCATCGCTGAGACCGGGCTGCATAGAATTAATTTTGATAATTAATATGAGAAGAGGGTATATTTTGTTCGAAATATGTATAGCAGCAAAACGACCACCACTTAGGTTTCACTGGGATGTTTGTAACTTGGTAAACTGGGTAAAATTATTTTACAAAGTGCTACAAAATATAGAGATGCACTTGATCTGCGTATGTATGCAGAATAGATTTGTAGCTTGATTTCCTTCGCAATTTCTTCAAACTTCCTTCTCAATTTATGTGAACATCATTCGCAATTTCTGTAATTTTCATTCGTAAATTCTGCAAACTTCATTCGCAATTTCTGCAAATTTCATTCGCAATTTCTGTAAACTCCCTTTGCAATTTCTGTCGAAATATTTTTAAATTTCCGAAATTTACCGGGTTACAAACATCTTCGCAATCGCATAAAATTTATCAACAATTTAGCTCATACTTGCACCGTCTCCCCCATTCTGTTAAGAACTTGTGAAAGTTTTCTTTCACCAACAATGGCACACTCTAAATGTCTACATATTCCTTAACAATTGCAAGTTGTCGGATATTTCCTTATTTCCAAAACAGGACACAAACTGTATAACAATTTATAAATTTTGTACATACACCACGAAACTTGTTATTTACACTTTTATATCCTTGACTCGAGAATGAGTCCAAGTCCAACCAACTAGAAGACATACATTGTGCAAAGCTCCATGATAAATAAATCACTCATTTCTTCTCTCTCTCTCCATGTTTCGTATATAAAGAGGTAAAATATGTAAATTGATGCATCGCACGGCACATGGGGTAGAATACTAATCGAATTCGCGAAAGAGTTGGCCAAAATTTCAGGCTCTGGCTCAATTTCAGAATGTTTGCGGGTTGTGTTGTCTTTTAATTTGGGGAAGAAATTTCTATGTATTTTTTGGTAGAAATTTCGTAAAATCGCAGATTTTCGAAATAAATCGACCACACTTAAACTACATCATCACGACCCATTTCCTTCTTCACTTCAGTTCAGTCAGATCGCTAAGTAAACCGCAAAAAGGAGGGAATTAATAGTCGACTACATGCCGTGGCCAGTAAACCACATTAAAGTGAGTGCCAATCCATTGGAAATGTGGGTGATGTCAGTCACTTCATTAATTTTCCAATTTCCATCCAACTCTGGAGAAAGTAGAGGAAAACGTGGTCGGTTTTATGGGTCAAGAAATATTGGGTGTACTCTCGGCAAAGGGATTTTGAGATGGAATTGTTGGCGAAATACTACTTATTTCGTAACATGAATTTGAGGAGAGAAATTGCACATTATGTGAAGTTGGTAACGGTTTGTTACCGACTGGTTGCAATGCTAGACACAAAATCAAATTTATCACTCTGCAGAGTGAAATCAAAATTATAATTCAGTACCCGCTGCATCATTTGTAACAATTTTGCTCTCCCATTATTTGCAGTGTATGCAAAAATTTTTGCACATTGTATCAAAACTAACGAATAATTGAGAGAACATGCTTTTGAGTACCCCCAATATTTCGACAGCAATAATAATTCCGTTATTTGTTGACTCTACCGAACACTAACTAAATATAGACGGTTGTAATAATATTTGTATCTCTGGATGTGCTTTCACCACCGGACTGGCAGATGCTGCCTTTAATATTAAACCATTTTCGGAGGTATGCACTTCTCTGTTCGTATTTTGGTCTGGATTTAGAGCAAGTCGCGATACGATAACTTGTCGAGAGGAAGAGTGGAACGGAACTGGGGGAGAAAGCGAGGCAAACTTGGCCATTTATCCGTATCTGTATCTTTCTTCTTTCTCTTCGCTATGCAGGTTGTTCTGAATTCTGTGTTTCTCCCACTTTCCTCCTGTACTGCACGTCGAGTTAGTTGGTTCGTTCACATAAAAGAGAGGAAAGATTGGGTAGGATGCGATGTGTAGTAAAAGGTTTGGATGGAAAAAGATGGGATGTTTATGACGGGGGAGTTGTAGTGAGTGGGTCGTCGTGGTCATTATGTGATTGTGGGTGAGCTATTTTTTCTACATTTTACTTTTATTTGGGGGGGGGATGAAAATGGTAAAATATGACGGGTTTTTAGGGGGACAGAAAAATTTCGATATTTTTTGAACGAATGTGTAATTTCTGGGGCATTTTCTGGGAGATTTTTTTATGTATGACGCGAAATATAGGGGCAGATTTGTAGATTGGAGAAGAAAAAGTAGTTCACATTGATGTTTGACACGCCACAATCTGGCGAAGATGAAAGAAATTAAAAGTTTTAAATTAGATGGGATTGTGAAGTGGAAAACTGGGTAAAAAAATTTTTTTATTAGAATATATTTATAGTTAGAGGTGGTTTGAAGGTTATTTAAATTCGTGTCTTTGTGGCGATAAATTTACCCATGAATGAGACTAATTTCATGGCTATTATGATATATAAATTCGTTCAATACGGAACATATAGGTAGGAAAAAGAAGCTGGGAAATCTCTCTCCAATGAAATCCTTCCGATTCTTCCATAAATTCTAATCCTTCCAATTTCCCGAGATAGTTTATTCAATATAAATTGTAATCGCAGATCTAAATATATTTCTGAAAAGAAGAATCAAACTGAAAACTAGGCCACGGAATTCGTCTCTCGTCTGCTTTCTCCTTTCTCTCTCTCCAATCCGGCATACATCACATGTCGTTCTTTGAACCAGCAACGACCCCACCGGAGAGCTTGCATTACATTGCATCACATTTTACCATAGACCAGCAGCAGTGACAATCACGAGCTATGTAGTTCTGCTGCCCTACTCGTTCTGGCAGGGGCTGGCACGTCGCCAAGAAATCCCAATGTCTACCATCCATCCCTCCACATCTACACTTTCTCTCGTCACACTCTTAACAATGTGGGAACAATTGTATTACCGATTGGTAATACGATTTGGTAACAATTGTATTACCGAGTGGTGATAAGAATTAATAAAATATGTGTGAGGGTGTAATTTTAACCAAATTGGTGACATGCAATTAGATGTAGAAATTTGAAGTTGGTTCTAGTATAATTACGACAAAATCTTCTCGTATAAATGTGAAAACAAAAAATATTCAAAATGCTACCAAATCGGACGCAAAATGCTACCAAACTTGGCACAGAATGCTATCAAACCGGTCACAAAAGGCTACCAAATCGGGTGCAGAATACTACTAAACCGGTCACAAAATGTTACCAACCTTTCCACAAAATGCTACCAAACCTACAACAATTTCTCCTTATCAGTTGATTCTTCTCTATCCGCGACCAACTATATATATCACCAAACCAATAACAAACCTCTCCTACTTTAAGTACAAACCATTCCCAACCTACCCGAGGAATTTCATCTCGATCCCGTTTACCCCGAATTGTTTAGAGTAGCGACGAAATGGTGAAGAATGAAGAAAATATCTTCTTTCACCCACCCGCCTGCTGCCCGAGGAGGAGAGATGTGCATGTAATGCGAACAGATAAAACCACTCGAAAACTGCAAAAGTCTAAAGGAGGAAAGGGCGACTAAGGCGACGGCGAGTTGGGAGAAGAGGAGATTCAAGTGAAAGGTACTTTACTTTCACCACGCAGCCAATAACCTAGTCAGTCAGCAGGGAAAGAGAAAGCAGCAGCAGAACAACTTTCTCTGCTTTTCATATGCATGGAAATCTTTGGGGGAAATCTGCCCGAATTTGAGATGCGAATAATAATACCAGGCCATGCAGTCCTTTGAATTGGAATCATGATAAGTTTCTTGTATTGTGGGTTGAGATGGGTTTCTAAAGGTTTATTAAATTTAGAGTATGGAATTTCTAACAGAATTTGAGATTTTGGATGGATCGATGATTTTGTTTTATGTATGTTTTGGTCTGATCTGTTGTAAGAGGTGAAAGCGATATGGATTATATTGAAAATGTACGTTGTGAAATAAATATATTTTAGAAATGAGAATTTCATGAATTTCCCTGCTTATCTTCATTATTCTTGAATATGTCTCTACATTTCTATTTTTAATTCTTGGGGTTTAACATATTCAAAAAAAGTTTCTAAAAATATGTAGCAAAAAATTTTTATATCTAAAAAGTTATAAGTCTTTCTTAGTTGTTAGTTGTTAATCTTTATCTGAACAATAATTAACAAAATTGCAATTAAAACTTTCCCTTTTAGGAAGGAACAATTACAATTTTCGAGAATCAAATTAAATAATTATCGGAAAAATGTGTTTCTCCTATTGAAAATTATTAACAAATTAGCAAGATATTAACAAAACCATTTGTTTAATTTGGGAATATGAGTTTTGAAAATTTTTAGGAATTATTCCAATGTTAAAATTAATTTTTCCTAAATCTTTTGTATTATTTAACGCGTAGAAATCCTACTTTGTGAAACAACAATTATCAAAATTTTACCCTATAATTTTATCATAAATAAAATTTCTCTAAAAAAAATCCGAAATTTTGAGAACCCTGACACCCATCAATAAGAGAGAAAAAAACGAAACATGCACGCAAGGCAGGTTGATGGATTATAAAACTGAAAGTAACGACAAGATTTGAAGTTATGTTACACAGTCGCGACTTTCTTCAACGTAGGCACGATGCGTTACGAGTTTTATGACGAAACTGTAAATATTACGCTTCAAACACAAAGAGATTCATTTGGTTCAATATATGCTAAATTATTCCTTTTTGTATCAAGTAGATCATACATACTTCAAGTGTTTTGATCCATAATTCCTTTTTTTTTCGGTTATACAAACAATAAAATGTCAGGTTGTGCCCAGGGCTAGAACGAAGTATAGCCCACAAATTTCCATAAAAATCACCACAAAATATCGAATTGGTGAGAAAAATACTCCAAAACGAGGAACAAAATCACGACCAAATTAGTGACAAAAAATATTCCCACAAAACTAGTAACGAAATCACAAATTTTACCAAATTAGTGGTAAAAAATATTGCCAAATTGGTTCCCCAAAACATAAACCAAATGACATATCTCG